GACTAGTGCATACCCCTGGCCCCTGCCCTCGCTTCACGAGTGACCTCCCCACTGTAGATTATTTAACCCTCACACCTCCGTATGCGTTGCATAGGCAATTAAACAAACACCCCAGCTAAAGTGGGAGGCCGTTTGGCCAAATGGGGGGATTTTTTAAGCTTCCACCTTGCCATCCTCATCGCCACGTGCACTCAGCCATAGAAAAATCATGTGACCTGGCGGATCCCACCCGGCGGGTGCCAGGAAACGCGGTTAGGCACGGGCGGGCTCTGACGCGCTAGAACTGGCAGGGGTTTAGACCCGACGCAGCTCTCAGCCCCAAGAATGTAATGAAATCCGCATCACAGCCATTTCATCATCCCGGCCAAGGCAGGAAAGTCTCCAGAAGCGATGGGCTCTGGCGGGGATCCTGACAGAATTTTCGATCGAGCGGCCGTCTTGGATATTGTGGCAGCCGCTCTTGATCAGATTGATCGCGATGTCACCATCGGTAAAGCCCCTCCCTCTAAGGCCCCCTTCTTCGAGAGCTCCAGGGACCTGTTTACCCACAGAGTGCTGATACTGCTGCGAAATACAGACAGGGAAAACAGAGACAAGCAGCAAGACGCGCTGCAACGTGAGGTCCAAAGGCTTACGGCTCAAGTCGAGAGCCTCCAGCGCGAGCAGACTCGCTTGAAGGAGCAGCTTGCTTGCGCCCAAGCAGCCCCGCAAACCAACGACGCGGCCGATGTCGTAGCCAAAAGAGGTCGGCCAGACGGCCACCGAGATGCCCGCCAACCGCTTGGGGAGATGTCCTCGAATGCTACGACTCCACGCCACCATCCGCTAGAGAAATCAAAGTCTCACCATAGGTTGAGGGCAGAGAGGTCCACAACTCCCGGCCGCACGATGTCGCAAATCGTTGAAATGCTGGGTGAGGCGAAAAGGAGAGAGAGGGGGTGGATGGAGTACGCAGTGTATCTCGAAGAAAAGATGGGTTCCAGGGCTGGGAGCGGTGTCATCATCTGTCGAGGCCGACCAAAATTTGACGCTCCCCCCGGCGCCGGCAGAATATCATCCGAGCCAAGATCACCTACACGTGGTCTGCGGACGGGCGAGTCCCCGTCTGAGCCATCTCCAGCCCCTGAGAAGGGAGATGACAGCTCAGAACAAAACGCTACAGAGTACGAGACAGACGGCGCTAAGCCCGTCGAACTGCCACCTTATCCCAAACGCGGTGCAGCCGCAACAACCCGACAACATGCTGTTGTCAAGCATGAGCCATCGTCGGACGGCCCGGTGTTCGTTTCGGTGCGATCTGTTAAGAAACGGAGGCTACCAGACGGCATGGCTGGCTCGACTCCTGTCCGCAGACTGAAGGCCGAGGAAACTAGTTCTGATCCCGTTATGGGTGAGGTTGGCCACCGCTCACCCCAAGAGAGCATAGACCTTGACGAGAGCTTCAGGCCCGAGATGCCTACACCCAAGAAGCTCAGACTACTACCGCCTGCTCAGGACGGTACCGTGGCAAACGACGCGGACGAGATCCACAGTGATGGCTTTTCTCCCTCGCAAGGCGTTCCTTTCGGGTTCAAGCCTCTTGACAACCTCCTCGACGCCCCGTCATCCAACAGGAAAAGGCAAAAGCCACTCATTCCTCCGCAACAGGCTCGCTACGATGATGAAGGCGCAGGCGGATATCACGACCAAGAGCATGACAACAGCACAAGCCGTCAGCTGCCCCCTACCAGAGCCCCCAAGCCCGATATGTCAGATATGACCACCCCTAAAGCACCTCGTCCACAACAGGCGCAGACGCCAACCGGAGTGCTCATGGGCGAAGCAGCCACATCAAGGCCAGCTCTGGGGCTACGACGGCCTGAGAGGTCTAACGGGGGTCGGGGACCTATCCGCGATATCGCTTTGAACGATTTGAGGCTGGATGATTTCAGGCCCAATCCCAAGGCGACCGACGGTGTCTTCCACGCCTACAACGATGTAGTCCGGGGAAAAGCCGAGAGGGCAAGCCTCGCTGGCTGCACCGACCGCAACTGCCCCGGAGGGAAGGACTGGAGGGGTATGGCGGAGTCGGAACTGAAACGTGCGGGGCCATCCCTGGTCAGCAAGGCCGACAGTATGAAGCTGATGGAGCAATTCCTGGGCGACGACTGCTACAGGTTCGGGTCGATGTCACGCCCCGAGAGGGAAGCGGTCTGGATCGACGCCAGGACGTGGGAAATGTCGAACAAATATGGCCGATGCCGACACCGATTCCCACGGCCCCCGACCCCAGAACAGTACTGGAACACGGACTTCCCGAGCACCCAGGACCGAGCAAGGGACAAGGCCGAGGGCGAGAGGACTGAGCGCCTTATAATCGAACAGAGGTACAGAGAAGCTATGAGGAAGGACGGCAGGTGGTTGTTTAGAGACGAGTAGCGTGCCCAGGGCTGTAATGGGGCAAGACGTATGTATATAGTACCAAGACAGTGAATAGTATCCAGTCTCAAAGTAGACAACCTTTGATTTCTGTCAGCAGCTGCTCTTGATATCTGACTGCATTCTTTGTGTGTGAAAAAAACAGGGATATGGGCCGGGGATTCCAGAACACGACGTACGGTGTCACCCGTCGTTGCAAGAATGCACTTGTCCAGTCGGGAACCTGGAACCAAGAGAGTATAGATGGTGATTTGAATTGGCTGGACTTTTGTGTTTTGCAAGGCCACGATTCCTCTTGATGCTCGCGTGGCTGCCCGACGAGATCCTCCGTGCATGCGGACCCGACTTCACCCAGGGTGAGCCTGGCTTCCACCCGCCGATACATCAACCCCAGCTCATCCTACCTGTTTTTTTTTCCTTCTTCCTCGCCTCCAAGAAGAACTCCCTGGTTGGTTCCCGGCAACGGCTGTGCAGTCGCCATCCCCCCATTGCCCAACCGAGCCGTCTCCTGTACTCCGGTCCAATGACCCCATATCTTCTTCCCCAGAAAGGTCGACATTACGTTAGTAGGTACATAGGTTGCTAGGTGAAGAGGAAGACGGATGTGTAGGCGGTATAAAAATAAAAAGTAAAAAGCAAGGGGATATTTTTCGAGGCTTTTCCCACCCGCCGCCCCAGAGAACCGTTTTCCCATGTCCCGAGTCCGCCCGCGCTGACACAACGAACAAAAAAGAAAGCGTGAGAACCCGTGAGTTCGAGCTCTTCTGATAAGCCCGGGGACCGCAGGCACTCAAGCCTCCCCCAACATTCGATCAAAATCTTCTGTAAGTATGGCCCTCGTAAATGCCGGCCCAAGGTATACACCCGCCGTTCATCCACAACCCGCCCGTCACCTCTCACCGAGACGCCTGACGTCCCGAGTAACAGCACATGAGAGCCACAGGCTAGCCTCCCTTGCGCTCTCCCATAGTCGGGATGGGACTGATCCTCCGCCCGCGCCCGTTAGACAGGTTTGTCATAGCCCCAATGTCCATACCAGCGACGTCATCCTACACGCGCTGGTAAAACAAGAGGTACGCAACCTTGTTGTCCTTCACATTGTCCTTAGCTTGCCTGCCCTTGGCCGTGGCCGCCGAGGCTGCGTTTCCGTTGACAATGCTGCTCCACTTCTTGCCACCGCTAGCCGGCGTGCTCACCTGGTTCCAGCCGTCCTCGTCGCCCGTCTCATCGTCACCCATGCCGGCGAATCGGTTGGCGGGCGTCGATGTGGCAAAACCACCATCCTTACGGCCCGAAGACTCAGACAACTTGGACGGCTCTTCCTCAGCACCAGCCTCGGCGACATCCTCTGCGCGGATGCGGCGGATGACGGTGTCATCGAGCCGGACCCACTCACTCCCGTCCTGGCGTCGGACATCCACAGTGTAATGACCACCGCTGGCGTTCTTGCCATGGTGGTAAACAGCAGCAATCAGTCTGTACTTGGGCATGCCAGTCGAACTGTTGCGCTTGGCGCGAGACACGACCTCGCGAGGGATCTCGAGCTCCAGCGGATAGCCAATCTTCTTCCAGATCTTGACCGTGCCGTTGCCTTCGGCATCAAACTGGAAGCGCTTCAGGTGCAGAATCAGGACGGGCGGCAGCGACTCGATGAAAACCTGCTTGGTGGCCGTGACGTCCTTGCCCCGGGGCGAGCCGAAGTCTCCGCGGAGGCTCTCTGGGTTGGTCAGGTGGCGCAAAGCGTCCACGATGTTGCGGACTTGTGGAGCGCCGATGTCAAGCTGCAGGGGTTGGTAAGGCTCGAGAGTGACAGAATCCTTCAGGCCTGGGACGCGGAGCTCGGAACGGAGCTGTCCGCCAAAGATCTTGGTGATGGGCGACGAGGTGTCAGAGTGGCCGCTCGAGCGAGTGATGGCCGACCGCTGCTTTGGGCCAACCTCGAGCCAAACATTCGAGGCGTCCCCACTATCCAGGTTTGCAGAAGAAACGGACGCCGTTGGGGTCGGCAGCGAAGAATTCGGCGCCGTGGAGACGTTCGATGAGGGAGGCACTGCACGAAGAACATGAGCGCACTCGTCGTGAAGAGACTCGAGAAGGAACCCGAGGAACTCCTCGGCATCTTGTTGGTGGCCACGCTGTTTCGTGCTCTGTCAGCACCTGGGTAGATAAATGCCTTGTGAAGAAAGGGGAACTCACTCTCATGCTGGAGAAGCGTGGCAGTTTCTTGATTGCTTCGTAGACGAATTCGGGGATGAAGGGTTCGCCGTACTGCTCAAGCTCCTCGTTCTTCAGTCTGCGCCGCAGCTGATCGACCGAGACCGCCGAGTCGATGATCTTAAAGTCACGCAGAAATTCGATCCTGCCCCTGGCGTTAGCGAGCGGTCTTGACCGGGATCATGGGGGGGCGGCTTGACCTACATAGCATCAATAAGAGGCGTCTCGCTGTTGAAGCTATGGGCAACCTTTTTCCCAGCCTGCTCAAGGAAATCATAGAATGGAATGCAGAAAATCAGAACTTGAAGAACCTGTTGAGGCTGTCAGCAAAAGAGTAGTTTCCGAGTCTCAAGCGGACGTGGTGTTTCGACTCACAGAATTCATGTAGCACATGTTCCCCGTGTTGATGAGCCCCCTTGGCTCAAGGAACGCAACCTTGTCTCCGTTGCCAACCCGGTAAGCCCGTAGGGCCTCGGCCAGCGAGCTGTGGTTGGCCTGAGCAAAGCCAGAAACACCTGTGCTACGAGCCCCAGTCGCCGACTCAGTGCCGGCCGTTCCGTTGGGCACAGCCTGGGCAGAAGCCGAGGCGCCAGCAGCGGCTGCGGCCGACGAGGCAGCCTTGGAGAAAAGACCGGTCCAGAGAAGTGGGGCGGCGGGAGCAGGCGCAGGAGCGGGAGTCGACTCGACCTTCGGCTCCTCCGCAGCCTCGTTCTTGGGCGCCGCGGAGTCAGCAGGAACGGGCACTTTCTGCTCAGACTGTGGCTTGGGTGCGGGCTGCTTGGTGTCTTTTGGCGATGCCTTGGGTAGGGCAGGGATGATCGGAATCGCCGGGACGGCAGCACGGGCTGGAACCTTGATCGATTTGGTCGCCGTGGGGGTGCTAGCGGATGCGGTCGACGGAGCCGCTTTGACGGATGTCGGGGTGGTCGGGGATGTCGACGCTGTGGAAGGCTGTTCTTGGGTCGATGGGGTAGCAGAGCGGGCCGGGGGCTGCGTCGCAGTGCTCGCAGGTGACACCTTTGTCTGAGATTCCTCGACTGTCTCAGTCACAGTCCCTGCCGGGGTAGCCGCCAGCGTATTATCATCCTTGGAGGGCAGGCTCAGGGTCTGCTCCTCGTTTGCGAATGCTCTCCGCCGCCTCTTGATCCTGGTGGAGCGGGAGGGAAACGGATCTTCGGGATGAGTGAACCATGGGAGCTTGGGTTTGTCGTGTCAGCGCTAGGCTTGCGTATTCATTGAATCACTGATCATTATACTCACAGGAGGGCGGAACGGCGTCTTGGGCAGCGACAGTTTTACGTGCGGCTGCGGCTTCGGGCTCGGAGTGCGCTCGGCGGGGGCCTCAACGGTCTGAGGGGTTGGGGGTGTGGGAGGCGCGGGAGCCTGCGCCTGGGCAGATTCCGTTGAGGAGGGCGTGTTCGGCGTCTCCACGACAGGCGGAGCAGCACCGACAACGGCGGGCTTTATCGACGAAACAACTTGCGGATGCGACGGCGTTTGCTGCTGCGGAGAAGCCTGCCCGGGAACCTGTGGTGCAGGTGCCTGGGCAGGAGTCTGGTGAGGGGCACGGGGCGCGGGCTGCGGCGGCACGACAGGAGCGTGGCTGTGCGACGCAGCACGGGTGCTGGGCGGAGGCGTCTGGTAAGGGCTGGAGACGACGATGGGAGACTGCTGCTGGTTCCTGGCATAGACCTGCGGCTGGGGCTGAGGCTGGGGCTGCATGACGCCGGCGCCCATCATGTGGGCGTACTGATGCATGGTGGGCGGAGACCTGGCGTGGTAGTGCGGGTAGGGCATGTAGGCCTGGGAGGGCATGCTGGCGGCCGGGTACTGGGCGCCATTCTGGTAGGGAGGGGGGATCGGAGCGGCATGGGGGTAGACGTAGCCCGAGTAGTACCCCATCTGGTTGGCGTAGACCTGGTGGTTGAGCTGCTGCTGTTGCGGGTGCTGCTGGGGATGCTGGTGGTGATGGCCGCCGTAGTGCGACTGGTATGACGGCGGGCGGCCACCCCGGCGCGGCCCAGGCCCGCCGCCGCCGTGGCCAGGGCTCATGCCGACGCCAGCACCTCCGCCGCCATCCATGGCCTGCCCAGCCGGCAGATGACGGTTACTCATCCTGCCGGCCTGGGGTCCGTCGGGACGCAGTGGTGGCTCGCCGATGCGGAGCGACCACTGCAACTCGTCCCGGGCCGACTATCGGCGCGCAGGGCCGTGGTTCAGGGAGCGCGGGAGGGGCGTGGGTCGGACTGCGCCGTGCTGGGGCGCCTCGACTGGTGCTCTGGAAATGAGCGCTCGCAGCAGGAGTCCAGCGCGTGGGCGCAGCGTAGTCTGTCGGGCGCCTTGTTTGCCGGGGAATCGCTTGAGGCAGACAGCGAATGCTCTCGAGCCGACGGAGAAGGGAGGGACAGAGTCGTTGTGCAGCAAGCAAAAGGGCTGGAAGGAGCGGCGAGAAGGGGTGTGGGGGATAGCAGCGCCGACGCTCGCCCGTGCGAACGAAGACCAGACCAGACCTCAAGGCTGACTGGCAAGGTAGGTCGGGTTGGGTCAAGGTCGCCGAATTTCCTGCGCTGGCGAGATTTGGCTCGGGTTTTTCCTGGGTAAACGGAGGGAGCCCTTTGACTGGCTGCGTTCTAGTCGCAATTGGGTCAGCTAATGGGTTTGTGGCGCTTGGGCCAGGTGGTGGCTGGTGCCTCATGTGGTGTGGATTGACGACAAAGCTCCTGCCAACGTCCATGTTTTTGCCCAGTTGAAGGATTCAGTGCCACGGCGCAGAATTTATAGGGAGGCCACAAACCTCTTAGGGGATCGAGTTGGGTCCCCCTCCCTACCTTCTCCTGCAGCTATGCCATGCCAACTGCTGCATGCGATCGCACTGACAGGCTGAGGAGCAAACAGTGAGTTGAGGGCCGGTGACCCTCTCTGGCGCCCAACCCATCAGAGCCCTGTTTGACATGGCTGCAACACCATCCATGGCCCCGCGCCTGACGTCTGGCGGGCGCCTTTCTCAGAATCCAGTCTGTGACAACCTAACGCCCCGCCCTAGCTACTGGCTGTGGGATCATATAATATCCCCGCGCGCACTACCGACGAGACAGCACAGGGTTCTTATTGAAAGCTGTCTCAACTTGCGCTTTCAGCAACACCCAGATATCTCCATATCAAATCGAGGACGTGTGGTGGGCAGGCTAGATACTATCGGACTGCTGTCTATCACTGTAGCCGTCCATAAGTCCAGAGACATGGCGATAATCTCGGCCTCCCTAGCTCGAAAGCACCAAACAGAGGAAGACCCCCAGCACTACCATGGCTCCATTTTTCCTCACTCTACTGTGGTGCCTCGCGGGGTGGAATGAGGTTTCGTAGCGACAGATCGTAGACAACGTTCTCGACCTTCTTGACGTCGTATTTGACCCCATCGACACGCTTGCGGAGGATGTCGTTCTTGAGGTTTAGCAGCTGGAAGCCAGCATGCAGGTCGCGCACGAAGGAGCTGATGCGAACAGCCAGGTCTAGGTCACCCAGTGTGACCGCGTTGGTCGCCAGTCGGCTCAGCTCAGTCGTCAGATCCGTGAGCGCCAGAAGGTACTCCTCGATAGTGAGGTGGAACGCATCGCGGTCTTGGAGGTTCACGGGCACTGTTTTTCTGCTCGTCAGCCGCAGATCCGAAGCCATCTTGAGTAATAGGCATAGGGATGTGTTCTTTACCCTGAAATACAGCCCCGACCTCTTCCAGGCTCAAGAGCCTTCCAACCTCACCCGGCTTGGAGTCGGTGCCGAGGCCACCCAGAAACGCGCAAAGCACAACCGTGAAGATAGCGCCCTGGACATGGCGAGCCCACTTCCACTGGTACCTGTCGGGACGTCAGTGTTTATAGCTTCGACATCTCCCACCAGCGGGCACTCACTTGTAGTAGGGGTGCTGTGATGCCTCGATCGAGAGTTCTTCGGTCGTCGCCACCAAGTCGTCGATAGCAGACTGGAGCTGGGGCAGAAGACGGGTGGGGTACTCGGCCACCCGGGTCGAGTGAACGCGAGAGATGACGCCCTGGCTGTAAGCTACCTGGCGCTCCAACTTCTCGACGATCTCGCTCAGAGACTCGCGTGCCTTGGCATCCTGGTCTATCTGAGCTTTTAGCTGATCGATCAGGCTCTGATCGATCATTTGTGACATGTTGCGATCGTTGGCCTTGGAGTCCCCGTCCTTTCGTTCTTGTGGGAGGTATGTCGTAGGGCAGAAAGAACCCCGACCCAAAGGGTTTCCCGCGAGAAAATGTGAGCAGATTTTTCACTTTCGGAGCGAGGAAGCCAGGCGTTTGTTGGACAGCCCTTCCGTTTCCTACACAGCGCCTAAGCGACGGTACCACAGATTCAACAGGATACCCACAGAATGGTCGCTTCTACTCGCCACCGGATTACAGACATCACTGCGCATCCAATTCAGCTGCTTGCTGGGGCGTTATTTGCGGTCGCCACGATTGATGGTCATGGACAACAAGACAACATGCTGGAGAAGCGTGTGGCGCCAAAAGGGCAGAATCCAGGCCGCTTGTGTGGACCATGAGGGGAATTTCTTCTTCGCAGCCAGGGCAAGCCCTGACAACAATGAAAAAATTGTTCGCGTCACCTCGAGGCAGTGTAATACGAGGGACACTGTGAGGGAAACCATAGGCAAGCCCAGCGGGAATCCCTCGAATGGCAAAAATAAGAATAATCATTTGATTCTGGTCAAGTAGACCAGTTTCAGAGATTAAACTGAAAAGAACAGATACTACACTTGATCTAAGCCAAAAGGCAAAGAGAGCTAAAGAAGAAAGAAGGAAAACAAGCAAAGGAGAGGCGGGAGGGCGCCCTTATATAGGTCGAGAAACTGGCCCGTGCGCACAGAGTTTCGCATGGTCCGTGCTGCTAGCTGTTGACATTTCTCTGACACCGCCCGCTCGATTGGGCACCGCCAATTCTTTCTGCCGTCCTAAAGCACGTGAGCCACCTGAGCCGGCTGGGGGCCACAGGAGCAAGCTGTCCCAGGTGGTCTTGGCCGAGCGAAACCAAGTGCCAAATTAGACGGGCACCAAGTATTGTAGGATTCTTGCAGATGCCCACTTGAATATTCACGATCTCGTTGGCATGCAGGCAAGGTCCATCGTGCTTAGACGCCAAAGTTGAAGTTCATGCCACCAGATAGATTCATCTACAGTGGGAGGACAAAAGTACCGCTCGCTACATATTAAACGCTGCCACTATAACCGGCTATAAAAAAGGAAATAAATAAAATAAAAATTACAGTAAATATAAAAATAACTTAGGTTTTATATTGGAGAAATAATTCTTTAATATATATATATATTGTAGGGCGCTGGTATTCCTTGCACAATTTGGCGGTGAATTTTTTTTTTTGTTTTGGAAAAACGAGCGGTACTTTTGTCCCCCGGGTGTACCTATGCTCCGACGCTGAGAAATTCTAGTGCCATGTACATTCGATACATAGAGGGTTCGTCCCCATTCACGAACAGCCTGTGTTCAGGAGCAAAAACCTGCGTGGGCTAAGCAGCCTACTACCGTCACAAAAGACCATGGCGCAGGTTGGCCCTGTCGCATGCAGCAATGACCTTGTTTATGCCTTTCGAGGGGCTCACAGGCGCCCGCGCCGTAGTACCATATCCCCCTTCAAAATCTCCTCCCTTTCAGTACAGTCCTACCAGCGTAAGATCCGATGGTGTAGCCTGCATAGACGCCGGCGAGGACGGTGACGGGCCAGCGCTGCCAGTCACGATCCCAGTCGAGCGGGATGGGCACAGCGCCGAGCCAGGCGCCAAGAAACGCGCCCGCGAGCGCACCGACCGACTCATCAAAGGGCGCCCGAAGCCCGACAAGGGCGCGCCAGGCGGCGGCATCGACGCCGCGCGTGTAGAAGAGAGGGAAGAGGGCGAGAATCGAGAGGTGCGCGGCGCAGAGGAATGTGTGTGGTACGTGGGTGAGAAAGGGTGCGCCGAAGAGCACCATGGTGGCGTGCAGAGGTGGCGTCGCGATCAGGGTGAGGAGGAGTGAGAGGAGAGCGGCCTATGCGCGACGAGCCTATGGTCAGCATGTATTTTCGCCAAACTATGCTCTGTAGGGAGCATGGAGCCGGAGTAGGCAGCCATACCATTATGATGTTCGGCTCACTGCCGGCGGGGCCAGCCTTCTTCTTCTCGCCTGGGCGCGTCTTGCGCTGCGACCTCGAGGAGCCGGCGACAGGCAGGAAGAGGACAGCGTAGGCGACTTGGATAATGACCATTATGGGGAGCATGGAGCGCCCCATGGTGGCCACGGGATCCTGCACCAGCTGGCTGAAGAACACGGCGAAGATCTGGATCTGCAGCGCCGGTATGGACGCCGCTACGTAGCCGAGGGGCCCGCTGGCCGCATCGTGGGAGGAGCCAACGCCGACGCTGGAGCTTGAGCTGGTCGCTGTCGCTGCTGGCGCGACTAGGGCGGCCGCTGAGCCGTCCTTCTTCGACTTCGCTTCGGGGGCGGATGGCGACATGGTGACGGGGTCTCTCAGAGGCATGGGGAAAGTAAGAAGCCCCAACCTGGGCAGATCCAAAGCTCAAGCTGGGCGCGGGCAGATTTCGTTTCGGGAGCCTGCGCAACTTGTCCAATTGGGAATCGTGTCGGCATTTGCCGATTAGCTAAGTCGGCGCGAGTCAGTCTGTCAGCGTTCAGGGGTGTCTCCCTCAAATATTTACCCCTGAATTGAAGCTGCTCACATCATTGCAGAACACCCGACATCAGCGGACCGGGATGGACAGCAAATATGAATCAGATACCTCGATAGCAATGTAAACGCGTGCTCATATTCATTCGTTACGAGATTAGTGTTCCGTTCTTCAACCCCAACTGCGCCGCCGCATATGCATGAAGCCTAGATAATGTCGCTAAACGTGCAAAAGAAATCAACCGCCTTGCCATCTGCCGCCCAATATGCGCCTGGCTGCTATGCCTGGAGAACCGTAGTCTCTTCCATATAAAGGTCATAGACCCCGTTGCCAACATACGTGTCCCGGTATATCCACAACGTTTTGCCCTTGCCTTTGATCTCGGTTTTCATCCCTGAGCCCTGCAGCTCGTTGGCCATGGTTTCAATGGCCACTTTGACCATGGACTTGAGTACCTGTGCCTCCACGATGGGGCCGCCCTTGGGGATGACGACCTTGTGCGAGAGAAAGACGCAGGTGATGCCAAGAACCAACAGACCCAGCGACACGGCCCCAAAGATGAGGTGGATATAATTCCAATGCTCAATCTTGAGCCTGACGCCAATCTCGGGCTGCTTTCCCGGCACGAGGATGCCGGTGTTGGACTCGGCTGCGGCCCCAATCACGCCAATGGCGAACCTAGACATGATCAAGGCCAAGGCCTGTGAATTTCCAGCCCTGGCCTCCCCAAAGAACGACCCGGCCGGGTACACCTGCGCCTGGACCGGCAGCTGGGCCGACCTGGGCTGGTTGGTCGCCGTGTCACCCGTCACGGATGCGAATCCCTGCAGGGCGATCGCGGCCGCCGCCAGGCGCGCCATCTCGCTGCCGACCTCCTCCTCCGGCCTCGTGGCCTTCTCCACCTCGCCGACCGCGGTCGTGCAGTTGTACCACCACGACTCCTGCTCGCTGGCCTCGAAGACGGTGACGTAGCTGCACCGCGGGCCGCAGTTTGTTCGCGTATCGGTTATGAAGGTGCTTTGCTCAAGTCCGCCGCGTACTGGCAGGGCGACGGTCAGATTGCGCGTTGCCGAGACCTGCACTGTTATGATTGACTGCGTGCCGTCGCCGCCCGCGACAACCTTGAAGCTGTCGCAGACCGTGTTGACCTGCAGCCGCCGCTCGGTGGTGACGGTGATGGGGATCCTGTCCGTGTTGTTGACACTTCTGGGGTTAATTTCGTGGAATATGTAGTTGCAAAGAGGAGGATCGATTGAGCAGAAGAACATGGGGTTGTCCGAACCCCACATGCTGGCTGGCTCGGGGAACGAATTGTTGTTGACGGACGTCTTGTACGACTGTGAGACGACACCCAGGTTATAGGCAGCGTATTGCCTGGCTGCCAGGACGGTGCCGGCAGGCGCTGCTGTGTCGAGGGTGTCAAGTCTCGGAATAAACACCTCGCCATCGCGCAGCAAGGCCTTTTCTTCGTTGTTATCGATAGAAAAGCAGAGATTGACAGATGCCAGCCCGACTTGGGCCGCCTGTTGAATAGCCTCGTTAGCAGAAGAAAGAGAGACCGACACAAGCCGTGACAATGCTGCTTACCAGGGCGACCAGGAGCCACGAGACGGCGACTGCCAAGAGGGATGGCCTCTTGGAGCTCAGAATGAGCATTGTCACGCGGCTAAGGCTGTGGGCATGGAGAATGTTCTTAACCTTTTGGGCCGATCTGTGCCTGCGGCTCAAGATCCACCACCTCAGATCCGACACGACGCCGTTCATGATGCTGACCGTCATAAGAGCCAGCCCGATAGACAGGCCAGTAATGAGGGCGTTAAACATACGCTTCTTAGTCTTGGTGAGTACGTCCAAGCTTGAAAACGTGATGAGGACGGTGTAAATAGAGGCTATGAGAACCACTATCACAAACCACCTGCTGAGCAGGCCCATCACGGCCTTCTTTCGGGACGACCTCTTGGCTGGGAAGCCTTTGAACTGGCGAGTCGATGGGCTGGACTGGCGGGAGATATGGGTGAAGGCCGACTCGTTTTGCCGCTGCTGCTCGTCCTGGTACTTCTGCGGTTGCGGTTGCGGTTGCGGTTGCCTGCTACCCTCGTAGCCCTGGGGCTCGGGAGGAGGCATTGGCATGGAAGTGGAATTCATGGCTGCTGGTGTTCTTGGGCTCAGAGGTATGCCTGAGCGACCTTCACCCCCATCTAACGGGGAATAGGGGCCCATCAGTCAACTGTTGGGAGGTTGGTCAGGCGTTGAAGTCAATGCCAAAATATCGAGCAAAATGGAGGACAAAATCACAGCGATACGGACGGGGGAACCAAGTATAAGACGGCAACCGGATGGGTACAAATGCAAGGCGGATGGGGCAGATCAAGAATAAACCTGTTAGGCTATAATAGAAGACCTGCTCGGTGGCTGATGTCTGTGTTATTTTTTGGCCCTCACGACTGACTCGGCCCCTTTTGGCGCAGTGGGCGCCACTCCCTCGGGAGGGGGCCACTTCTCGAGAGCCATGCGCCCCCTTGTCTCAAAACTTTAACCCATTAAGGCCATGAGTCAATGGGCCGAAGACAGGGGAGGTCTGTCCCTGAAAGATGAGCCGCGAATCCAGCCTGGCCGACCCGAGTGCACCGACCGACTGCCCGGATTGGCGACGGGAGCCGAGCAAGGGACAAAAGATAGCAAGGCGGGGAACGGAATCCGCGGATAGGAAAATGCTCAGGTCGCCATGTCGATGTGTGTGTATCGCTTGCCCCTGTCGGGGAAGTGTGGTGTGCTAGGTGCTAGCATAATGCCACCAGACGAGTGGGATCTATGCGTTTGAATTCTCAACATCGTGTACTTCAACCGCGTGCTTGCTGCTCGCATTCCATTATATTTTCCAACTTGTATCCGTCCAGGTGCCTTGGACACGGCAGCATCGAAAGCTGATATCCCCATCTCAATACGCCCTCCTGTGCTATTCCGAGCGCACAGCCCGCCCCACCCCCTAGCAACGATCACAGTCCAGTCCCGGTCGTTTCATGCACTTATTTTAGAAGGATGGTCGTACGCACAGATCGGGCCCAGATCTCGTATCACTTGGCACGAACTGTCAGCGGCGGACCGGCCGGTTTGGCTTTAGAGAGAAGTATACTGTGTAGGTATTGCAGGACTGTTCTTCTGAGGCTAAGATATCGGTTGTATGAACGCCGGTCGGCTCATATCGACCACGCAGTGAAATATGGCAAACCATCCGAATCCCAGGTTTCCGTTGAGAAGAGGATCCCATTCACGGGCCGGCTCGCAGCCCGCATGCCCGCTTGTTGGGCCTTGCTTGCATGTAGTTAGGGAAACAAGGTCAGTGATGCCTGTGCCACAAAACTGTTGTTGCTTCGCTAAGGAGCCTCCTCCGCATGTGCTTTGGGGTTAGACGTCGTTCCTACTGGGTTGTTGGGGTGCGTGCTCTGTGATGGACGGGGAGGTGTAGGCAATGTATTGTTCAGGCGTAGACGAGCACTCGTTTTAGTCTTCCGCTGCGCTCGTCGTCGTGAAGACAGATTGGATTCACTGGCTTCATATATTGCCGACGATGCATGTTCGGACGTGGCTCGTTAGGCCATGGCTTGAATACCTGGTTACTATCTGAAGACAACATGCGATTCGCATGCATGTACAGTCCACCATGCCTATTAAACTCCCTACATCGAGAGAATGTGGCGGGGTAGCTCGGGAGTAGGTAGGGGTCAAATATAAGAAATGGCGCCGAGGTGTGTTGTGATCAATCCGTGACATTTTCCTCAATCGAATCTCAAAACTAAATGGGTAGCGCTGAAGCGGAAGGGAGCAGGTTTGGTTGACGAGCGACGCTGACGGCGGGTTACTGCACGGCTGGAATTGAATCCATCACGGTGAGAATTTGGCAGTTAAAATTGCCGGGTTTGGAAAGGCATTTACTGGAATGGATCTCATTGGCCGCTGAGTTGGATGCGGGGAGGAAGGTATGGTGGCTGGGAGCCATAGCTGGCTGTCATTTGTGGCGCAGCGCGATGTTTGGCGCGTGCGACGTTGGAGCTTGAAAAAAGTCGCGTCGGGGCCAACGCTGGTACTTGGCGGAAGCTGTCGAGAAGCTGCCAAAAATCACCAGCCAGGCGCAACAACGCCGGGGCATCAACTACCCAGAGATACCGCAGATCCCCGGCCCGCAACGCGTTGAACAATCGCCGACTGCATTTTCAATGCCATAGATAACCTCCATACTAATCGTCAGCCCCGACCTTCGACTCGATTCCGGCTTTTCGTCGCCTGCCAACATGCCCCAATTCTCCGTCCCGGACGACAGTCCGCCTCCATCGACTCCAGACCGCACGTCTCGCGGGGGCATGTTCCGCTTTGATGACCACCCCTCGACGACCCCGGCGGGACCGCCCCCATCATCAGCCGCTAGCTTCACACCTGCCGGCGCCCCCTCGGCTTCGTACCTGGGGAGCTCCATGATGCGCGGACTCAGCACCTCCACAAAACCAGTTACTAAGATTAACTTTGGCAGCCGGGCATCTGGCGGCTCCAAGCAAAACCTCCTTCCACGCGGCACTCGCTCTCCGTTGGGGCGCTCCATCATCGGATCGAAAGGACGCCAACCATCCAGGCTCAGCCGACAGGTGGCGCCAGACGACGACGAGGATGACGAAGACGAGGACGAAGAGGATGATGATCAGGTCGGTGGTAATGCTCGTTCGGCGCCACGCACATTTGGGCTGGAATACAGCGACGAGGATGAGTCCGATGGGGATAGCGAGCCCGAACAGGCATTTCCCCGCCACCGAACAGCGCGAAGAGACGAGGAACAGGACGATGAAGATGATGGCGAGTACGAGGACGAAGATGATGGCCCTGTCTTGGATAGGACCCGAGACGATATCTGGTTGGACCAGGGGTTATCGCCGGATCATGGAGGGGCCGACGACTCGGATCTAATGGACCTTATGACGCCAGCCATCAATGATCGCGTGCGCCGCGAGGCCGAAGACATATTCCGAGCAACAACCATGCAGACGGCAGGGCGCGCCGCCAGGGAACTGAACTTCGCGCCTGTGGCCAAGAGTCTGTACGAGCAGATGGGCTATGCCGCCTTGACTGAGCCTCCTGCGCTGGTTCTCGAAACAGACAGCTTGGTCAGCCAGCTGTACACCGAGGGAGTGGGCGCAGAAGACGACGAGGCCAGGTTGGACACCGCTCTGGCTCGCACATCTAGTCAGCTCGTGTCGCTGTGGCAGGAATACGTCAACAGTTTACCAAAGGACGACGAGGAGCACGCGGCCGGCATAGGACCTGGTCCCCACGCGACACCGTTCGAGAACGCGACCTTCCTTGCCCGACTCGCTCTCCAGGTTCACCACACGCGGTATGCCGATGCCGACAACGAATCGCAGTACCTCCCGCTGCCTGATGTCCTCTTCCAGTGGCTGGGGGACAATCATAACCTCTACCCCAACCAGTCGGAGCAGATCAAGAAGCATAGTCCATCTCCAGCATGCCACACGCTGTTTTGGCAAACCGTATTCATGAGTCTCCTCCACGGCCGCGTCGGGGATGCCTTGTCTCTGCTTCGAGCCGGCGGGTTCGATCAGGTGAGGAAGGGTAGAGTCCTTGCTTACACTGACCGCGCGCTCTCCAACGTCCTGCGGGCAGTGCACGAGACATGTGAGGTCCTGGAGGCCTGCCCAGGGATGAACGGCGATTGGGACCTCTGGAATAGCGACTGGACTCTCTTTCGAGTCAGGGCCAGGGGCGCCCTGGACCAGCTCCGCCGCTTCGCCGAGGGCAAGGAAAAGTCGCTGGCCGCTTCCGACTTCTCGGAGACGGGCCGTGGCCGCCAGTCCATGGCAGGCATGGCCCGCAAGGCCGAGTCCCAGGTGCCGTGGGACATTTACGAGAACATTAACATCATTTTCGATATAATGCTGGGCTCCCAGGAGAGAATAGTGCAGGTTTCTCAAGACTGGTGCGAAGCCACCATCGCAATGCTGGGCTGGTGGGATGAGGGTAGGGACACAACCACCAACGAGTTACGCATGTCACAGTCGCTTTCTCGGTCGCGCACCTTGGCCCATGCCGCGTCGCGCATTGCCAACCCCGAAGACTATCTTGACCGGCTCGCGCGGTCCTTCCAGACTGCCGTGAACGCCGGGCTTGGTATCAACTCTAATAGCCCCCTCGAGGTTGGCATGGCGTGTGTGTTTGAGGACAACCCTAAGGGACTAGTAGGCATCCTGCGGTCATGGTCCCTTCCTGTCGCATCTGCCGTCGCCGAGATTGCCACTCTGGGCAAGTGGTTACCGACACACCAGCCGTCGGCCGCGCTCGGTGCGTTCGACCTCGACCTCGACGACCTAGAGGTGTTAGGCCTCGACCCCAGGAGCCCGGACGAGCTTGATGGCATCAAGGACACGACACTTGTCCAATATGCGCAAGCGCTGGTCAACTTTGACGAGCTCGCCTCAGTATCATCCAGGAGTGGAGGCGTCGTCGATGGATGGGAGCTTGCCATCCACATCCTTGGTCGCATCGACTCACGCGAGCACTCCGAGGACACGATTGGGGAGCTCGTCAAGAACCTTCTCGACGATGTCGACGCCAGCGCTGGGGCGGTCGTGGACAAGGTCTGGAGGCTCTTGAATGATCTCGGCATGATTGAATTCGCCGAAGAGACAGCAGAGGTGAGTTGCCTGGTGGTTGTCTCTCCGTCCTACCAGCTCCAATGGATAGCCCCTAGGGATCACGCAACTAACTTGACTTGCAAAACAGCACTTCGGAGATGCTCTCGCGCGAGAGTCTCACAGCTACGGCCAGGCTATGTGGTACTACTCGCTATCACACCGGCCGAACAAGGTGCGGGAGGTCATGAATCTTCTCATATCGCACTCCCTCCTGCAGTCCATCGCATTCCCGCCTGACGAGGAGCTGGACGAGCATCTGAGAAGGCTATTGCACGACCGCAACGAGACGCTTGCGCAGCTCGCGAGCCAGGATCTGGAGGCGGCCCAACTGCTCGGCAAAATGCTGAGCGGATACGCGACCCTGCGGCGATTCTACGATATTCGCGACGACGAGGACTACATCCCCAACCCCCACCGTAGGGCGGCGGCGGCCGACGCTCTCGTCTCTGTGATTGCGGCCTGCGACGACAATGTCCGTGGAGGGCTCTTTGACCCGACTCGTGACGGTCTCGTTAGCGAGGACTTCCTTCTAGCTCTTCTGGGAGAGGCAACGGCGCTGGTAGACAGTGACGGGAGCAAGCCACGGTCTCAGAGGCAGCCCGTCATACAACCCGGAGCCAAGGCAGTCATGACTCTGGATCATGTCGACACGCTCCTCAAGGCAGCCGAGGACGCCGTGGCGATCAAGTCAAGCTCGGTGTACGCAACGTGCAACGAGTTCTTCAAGCTCACGCTCGCGTCGCTACCGGGGCTCAAGGGATCCGCGCCGACCGACTTGATGCGGCGGACGGCAGGCGGCGGCGGCAGCACGAGCAGCTCGTACATCCTGGGCGGCAGCTCCATGCTGGCCAGCCAGCTGCACCGGAGCGTGTCGTCGGCGTCGCTGGCGGCCAAGGAGGCGGCGGCCAGGCGTGGATGGGACTGGAGGACATCGTTCAACGCCTCGACTACGGCGGACGATGTGCTGCGGAGACTTCGGTTCGGCGTGGCTAGGGACCTCGCCCGGTTGTGGGTGGAGGAAGCTGATAGGGTGTTCTAGACGTTGTTTGGAGGCCATAGCTTTAGGTTAGCCATCAATCTCGCCGCTATTTTCTTTCTCTCCATTTCTCGCTGTTCTATCCGTCCACACATTTTATCTCGCAGGACGGTGCTGGGAGTATGTAGCTAGTACCCCCCGAAGAGGAATTGTTTTTGTATTATGTTGCGTGGAACAAGTCGTTGTGGTTCCGGCGTTGAGGAGGCACGGTGGACTTGATATTACCAGAGAAGATGATTGAAGGCGGTATCTGCGCGTACGAGCTAAAGACGACGTCAAAATACTAGCAGTGACCCGACTAGGCTTCCCTTACTATTCAAGCCAGGAGACGCTGGGCTCTAGGGCGTCGTTCCAGATCTGGCCCTCTTCCCTCTGGAACTTGCGGACAGAGTCGACGTCCTCGGCGCCAAAGTTTCCATACAAGTGCGGGCAGCCGGGAACGTCCCAGTTGATATGATTCTCGAAGCGAGGGGCCAGCTTGATTTTGAGGACCCAGAACTCGGTGGCGTCCTTGAACCAGAGGCCGGCGGTGATGGGAATCTATGCCGCGCGAAGCGGAGGAGTGCATGTGTGTGTAAGTGGGTCAAGGTCGGCGGAGGGTTGTATCTGGCTGTGCCGATGTAAAGCAACGGACCTGGGGACCTGTGCTCAGGTGGACGAAGCCGTCCTTCTGATCCAGCTCGGACAGCGGATAGACAGCCGGGAGGGGTCCGGGGGAGGCGCAGGCGTGATCTTGTAAATGAACCGCGGGAGCGGGCTCGGAGCGTTCGAGGCCATCGTTTTGGAGAACTTTCTGTTGACCGGCAGGGGTAGTTGTGTGCTTGGGGTCTGTCCGGGTGAGGAGCCGAGGTAGCGTGAGCTGTCCGACTCCGGACGCCGGACGGGACGTATCGGCCGAATGTGCGGCTGTGCACAGCTTGGTCGGCACAGATAGAGATTGGATACCTCCCTCTAGCGTGAAAAGAGGGATATAGTACTAGAGAATACACCAGGGCTGAAACGGCACGTTTCCCGATGATCAATCTAGACGCTTCCAAACCGGGGCGCCCTTCCCTGGTGTCGTGGAGAATGCCGTGATATCGCCGAAATTAGTGCGCGTTCCCACCGGGAAATGATGGAACCTAGGGCCTGCCCCTCTATCCCAGGCAAAAAAAAAAGATATTCAGCCCGCCAAGGCCGCTGCCGGTGACATCACGGCGAGGGCCCATCTCATCTGCCGCTGACTGCCCCGCTTTCCAAAAACACTCGGCAGCCAGGCGAAAGCTGCCGGCCACCTGATCGGTTAAGAGGGACATGCCATCCGAGGCTGTACCTACCTAGCAGATTTCCTAGATGTTGTATCTACCTAGGTACCCGCCCAAGAATGGATATGTGGTAGATATGACGAGACCTAGGCAGGTGAGGGGTTTGCTTTCGGTGGGGCTCCTTCCAATCCGCAAGACCGTCTGGTCTCTCGACACCCCCACCAGGGAAACTTTGGGAGACGGGAGGCAACCTTAAAGCTAGGGGAACTCGCTCTTTCAGGGAAAACAACAGAAGAGTCCAAGTGCGTGCCATTCGCAAAGTTGGTTCGGGGGCAGGCATCTCGGATCTCCTCAACTCGGCTCGACCACACAGACAAACAGACAGAAGAAGATAGACAGACAGACGGCAGCCTACTAGCGGCACCTCTCACTAGCTTTGCTTCAAACTGCACGGTAACCTTTGTATACCGGCAAGATGGCCTCCACGGCAGGAAAGGTAGGGTGTTCTCGCCATCTCCCTCTCCCTAAACACCCCCGACCGACGGGGTGCCCGTGATGGCCGCTGACCAACCGACCGCGACCATCCAGACCATCACCTGCAAGGCGGCCGTGGCCTGGGAGGCTGGCAAGGAGCTGAGCCTCGAGGACGTCGAGGTGGCGCCGCCCAAGGCGCACGAGGTGCGCATCGAGATCTACCACACGGGCGTCTGCCACACCGACGCCTACACGCTGTCGGGCAAGGACCCCGAGGGCGCCTTCCCCATCATCCTGGGGCACGAGGGCGCTGGCATCGTCGAGTCTGTCGGCGAGGGCGTCACTAACGTCAAGCCGGGCGACCACGTCGTCGCTCTATAGTGAGTTTGTGCGATAACCTGCAGAGAGGCAGGTCACGACAAAGGGACTAACAGAGACCCAACCAAAAAAAAAAAAAAGCACTCCCGAATGTAAAGAGTGCAAGTTCTGCAAGTCAGGCAAGACCAACCTCTGCGGCAAGATCCGGGCCACGCAGGGCAAGGGCCTGATGCCCGACGGCACGTCGCGGTTCCGGTGCAAGGGCAAGGACATACTGCACTTCATGGGCACGTCCACCTTCTCGCAGTTCACCGTCGTGGCCGACATCTCGGTCGTGGCCGTGCAGCCCGAGGCGCCCATGGACCGGACCTGCCTGCTGGGCTGCGGCATCACGACGGGCTACGGCGCGGCGCGCGTGACGGCGGGCGTCGAGGCCGGGTCACAGATCGCCGTCTTCGGTGCCGGCTGTGTCGGCCTCTCGGTCGTGCAGGGCGCCGTGGCCAACAAGGCCGGCAAGATCATCGTCGTCGACGTCAACCCGGCCAAGGAGGAGTGGTCGCGCAAGTTCGGCGCCACCGACTTTGTCAACCCGACCGCCCTGCCCGAGGGCAAGACGGTGGTGGACGCGCTCGTCGAGCTGACCGACGGCGGCTGCGACTACACCTTTGACTGCACCGGCAACGTCGGCGTCATGCGCGCCGCGCTCGAGGCCTGCCACAAGGGCTGGGGCACCAGCATCATCATCGGCGTCGCCGCCGCGGGCCAGGAGATCGCCACGCGGCCGTTCCAGCTCGTCACGGGCCGCGTCTGGAAGGGCTGCGCCTTTGGCGGCATCAAGGGCCGCTCCCAGCTGCCCGGCCTGGTCGACGACTACCTGCAGGGCCGCCTCAAGGTGGACGAGTTCATCACGCACCGCAAGAAGCTGGCCGAGATCAACAGCGCCTTTGACGTCATGAAGCAGGGCGACTGCATCCGCGCCGTCGTCGACATGCGCGCCTCCTAGGTTGAGCGGTGGGTGACGCGCGCACCGCACATCACTCACGCCGGACCAAGGTTGACGCTGACTTCTCCTTTTTTTTTTGTCTCGGATCGTCTTGGGTATGGTGGTCCGATCGGTCGGCGCTTTCGCACAGAAGGGAGGAAGAGACCCGAAGAGACTCGTACGATGAAAGCAAGCGAACAGGAAGACGAAAGAAAAGGGGGTCAGCTAAATCTGGGTAGGCGAAATTGGAGTGCATGTCCGGTGGGTGAAGTTTGGTGGTAGCCCTGGCCCGTCGGTCGGTGTGTATTTGAATCAACAAGTCTACCCCTACCTATGCCTGGCCAAAGAGGTGTCGGTCACAGGGACCTAGCGGTGACGATTTTATGCATGTGCATGGCATGGGGATCCATTGGCAGCCAGCCAGGTCGCCAGGTTGCTCCCCGCAGTCCGTCCATGTCAGTCAGTCCAGTCACCGGAGGGTCGATTTGATTTGGACGAGGTGGGCGGCCAGCTCCAGAACCAAGGCCAGAGCAAAATGATTGGCAGGAATTGCGACTTCCGCTCTGCGGCTAGGCATGAGCTGTCTAAGAGAATCAAGAAGCAAAAGGAGTAATATTGCTGACGCTTTTTTTGTGGCAAAAAACGGGAGGATAAAACATTTGGAAGAAGCGGAATGGTATATGATAGGTGGACATGCCCCAAGCGGGTGTGTGCTCTCTACAGCTCGACAAAGTGCATACCGTGGGCATACCGTGGTTTCCCCAGCCGAAAATAACAAGGGACAGATGCCCCGCCTGTTTATCAGAGACGCCAGGTCATGCCATGTGCTGCCCATCTTCTCCGCCTCGCAATGCAAGAAGCGCCCTGACGTCGGAAACATATTGCAGGCCCTCGAAGAGAGGGACGAGGTGCAGGAGGTCGTTGTCCGTCGGGTCGTTGATCCAGCCTTGTATTGGGATGGCGTTATCTGTTGGGCAGCAACACGTCAGTAAGCCATCGCGGGCCATGGGTACCAAGGGGGTGTGTGGTGCGGGTGGACGACGGACGACGCAGGTCAGCTTACCCTGATGGAACATGTAGCTCAGCGGGCTGTTGTCTAGGATCATGACCTTGCTCAGGTCCGGCTCGACCGAGCTCAGGTCCTTGATGAAGGCGCCGTGCCTGAAGGTGCAGTGCTGTCGGTAGTACCTCGCCGAGAAGAACTTCCTCTCCGACTCCAGCCAGTCGATGACGGGATCTGCGTACTCTTGCACTGAAGCCGTGAAGACCACCAGGTTGTACCATTTGCATACCTAAACATCGAGTTAATACACCCACCCTCTTTCCCACGTTGCGCATGTGTCTCGGGGATGCAAGGAGAGCCCTTCTTACCCTTCGGAGGAAATGGTCGCAGTGCGGTCGCTTGTGCACGTAGTAGAGAATCGGGTGCTGCGGCCCTATCGAGGCCTGTCCCGCCATGCCCACGTAGGTCGTGTTCAGGCGAACCTCCACCATGTGCCCCGAACTCATCCTGCCGCCCTTGGACATGCTGTGTATCAGGGTCTCGTCCAGGTCGAGGATGAGCGTCTTTTGGTGCGACTTGTCCACCTGCTCCAGGTTGATGTACGAAGGCTGCCGCCTCGGCACCAGCGGGCGCGGCGGGGCGGGCGTCTTGGGGTACTTGGTGAGCGCGCCCGCGGGCGACGTCGGCGACTTGAGCTGCGCCGAGATGTCGTTGGGCGGCCGGAGACCCCCTCCCGTCCCGCCGCTACCGCTGCCGCCCGCGTTGGAGTTCGTGGACTGCGTCTTGCGGTGCTTGCGCTGGCGCATGGCGTCGTCGCTGTGCAGCTTTATGCGTATCGACTTGCGCGCTGGCGAGATCTCCTCCGAGGGCGATGCCGACTTTGACCGCGCGTGCCTGCTGCTGTTGCCGCTACTGCTGCTGCTGCCGGTGGCGACCGTGTTGGTACCTGCGTTGCGGTTCTGCAGTACCGTGCCGCCCCTGTCGTCGGATTCGGACTCTGAGGATAAGCCCGACGACGAGTAGGCTGACGACGCTAGCCGCCTGCCCCCACGCTTCATGGTGCCGTATCCCTGCTTCTCGTCAAGCTTGCTCCCGTCTCGGTAGTCGGCCGCCTGTTTCCGGGCCCGGCCGCCAGCGCCAAACAGCTTGCGCAGCTGCAGGAGCGGGGCGAAGGTGCCGTTCTCGTCGTAGAGCCAGGCGATCAGGTAGTAGCTCGGGGTGGAGACAAACGTCGTGAGCACCCATCGCAGGCTGTCGATGATGGAGCAGGCAAAGCGGCGCGGCAGCCGGTGCCAGCTGGAGTATCGCGGGCCCATCTCCTTGGACGGCGCCGGATCGGTCGGCAATAAGGGGTCGGACTCGGTCAGTTCTGCGTCGTCGTCTTCGTAGTCGTCGGCAGCGGTGGCGGCAAGCGGTAGCGTGGAAGTAGCGGCAGGGGTGTCGTCGCCCTCGAGGGCGGCAGACTCGGGGTTTATCGTCGGCCTTTCCGAGTCCGAAGCAACATCTTTTGACCCGCGACGGGCTGTGGAGTGTGCGGCAGGCTCGGTATCGGCGGCGGTCACGGTCAGACCGATCGCACTGAGCGAATTGGATCGCGACGACACGGGGCTGGCGGGAGGGGAGACTCTGGCTGAGATGATGTTCAGCGAGTTCATGTTTCCGTGGGCCACGGCGACCTCGGGCCAGCCATGAAGCTCGTCTTGGCCGGGACGGGTGGCAGGGGAGGAGCGCAGATGGGTCGCGGTGCAGTCCGACCGAGTCCCTCGACGGCTTGGTTCCTAGGTGTGGTGGTGGGGAGGTCGATTTGTTTCTGATTTTTTTTTTCTTTCTCCTGCTTCAGCTCCTCTCCCGTCTCTGTCGTACCAGGTGGTCTAAGCTCAAAGATCAATCACGGCGCGTCGATGCGCAGGCCCCGACCGAGCATAGGCCACTGTGTCCAAGCCGATGCGCACCGCGGATGGGGCGAGCTAATGCTGGTGGTGAACGGCGAGCGAAGCAAATCAAATGGAGCGAACGACGGGTCAGTCCCCAGTGGTCTGGCTGGGTCTGCTGATCTGGCTGGTTGGGCTATTCAACGGTTGTTGTTGGGGAAGGGGCTCCCCGAATTTGTGCATATGGGGACCGATTTGGGGACGGTTTGGGGACCGATTCGAGAGCATCAATCGCACGCTCCATGCGACGTCGCCAACCTCGGCTGGGCTGTGTACCTTAGGTACCTCCCTCTATCTATATCCGCTACCGGTTTCTCAGTCGTCAAAAACTGCAGACTCGAAAAAGGGGCCGGACCCGACTTTGTTCACAGTTGGAAACCCCGACAGCAGCGACAGCCTCGGCGCCGTCGTCGCTGGTGAGGAAAGAGTTCAGACTTCAACTCGCGCCTTTGGCCATTGATTGGCTTTCTCACCACGAGACCGCCAGTGCACGCCAGCCTTTTCGTCTTGACCCACGGCGCCGTCACGTTGCAGAAGTCTAGCGGCTTTCGTTTGGTCTTTGTTCTCTTCCTCGGAGTAGTGCCTAATCCCTGCCCGATCCCGGCCCCCCTTTTCGTGCAACCCATGTGCTGGCCTGTTTGGCTGTCAAAGAAAATCAGCGAGGAGCCGCCGCGAAGACCGTCCTTCCTCAAGCCTTTCACGTGGCTGCTGCAGCTCAAATGGCGCTAGACATCCAGGGCCTCCCCACTATTTTATAGGCACCGCTGCATGCATGAGGTCGCATCCATGTCAATGTCGCTCCAGCATGGAAAGTGTTGAGAAGTGATAGTATGCATGTATCTAGGCTGCCGTCATTGGTCGTCTTTGCTCAGTGTGCGAAGCTCGCGGAGAAGATGCCTGACAAGATACAAACTGCCCGCAATCACAACCTGCTCTTTTCTCGACAAGGCTATCTGAACAGCCTTGACCGGGTTGAGCTCACACAGCCTGGAACCCTCAAACCCTGGCCGATCGGCAAGTGTGAGGATATTAGCAGCCGCTTCCGGCTTCACCCAGGGCATGTCCGGCAGCTCGCCAAACTCGGTGGCGATGACGTGATCCTGCGGACGCAGTATTGTCTTGATGATAGCATCGTGGTCCTTCCCGGCGCTCATGGATAGCACCCAGGTGACAGCATCGAGATTTTTGGGCCCGCGCAGGCACCGGTTAACATAGCCGGCAAGCACTTTTGCAGACTCGACGTTGTGTGCGCCATCCAGCAGAGCCTCGGCCCTGGCTCCATGCGTCGCCAGCGCCCCGAGGTTTATCTTCTGAAGCCTGCCGGGAACCGTCATGTTCTGGATGCTTCGCAGCAGTCGCAGCGGGGACGCCGGCTGAGACGAGGGCTGCTGTCCCTGGAGTAGGTAGTAGGCGTAAATAGCGCAGGCCATGTTCCCAATCTTGTGCCCCGGCACACCCATCTTCACGAGCCTCCACACCAGGCTTAGCGGCACCTTCGAGATGGTGATTTCAGTGCCGACCTCGCGCGCGTGACGCTGGAGCACCTCCTTGACCTCGGGCGGGTTGCGGACGTCGACGACGCAGGGGACCCCCTTGCGCATGATGCCGGCCTTGTTCAGCGCGATCTCCTGGATCGTGTCTCCGAGGAGCTGCTGGTGGTCCAGGCCGATCATGGAGATGACCGTGACGGCCTTGTTGTCCAGGACGTTGGTGGCGTCGGTAGCGCCGCCCAGGCCAGCCTCGACGACGGCGTAGTCGACGAGCTCCTCTTGGAAGACCTCGATGGCGGCCGCCGTCATCCTCTCAAACTCAGTTGCCTGGACATTCTTTTCGGTATCTGCTAGGCCGACTGCCTTCCATGCCTTGGTGAATGTCTGCTCGCTTATGGGCCTGCCCTGCAGCTTGATACCATCCCACGAGTCTATGAGTGCCGGCGATGTGAACTCGCCCACCTTGAGCGACTCGTGAAGGCGCAGGAGACGTGAAATGTATGCGCATATTGAGCCCTTCCCGTTTGTTCCCGCGACGTGGACTGTCTTCCAAAGATGCTGGCTGTTGAGGTTGGCCAGCTGGCTTATGCGGCCAAGACCGAGCTTGATCATGGCGAAAACGGCACTCGCTCCGCGTCCAAGGCCAGGTCAGCCAAAGGGAGACCGGCGATGGATTAGGCGATTCGCCGGTTGAATGCCAGGGGAGGGCTTATGGAAAAACGGTGGGCCTTCGGGCATCGATCAAGCTCTGTGATTGACCCCATGACAAACCGGGCTAGCGGGGTTAACCAACGAGACCTCGCAATGTTGCGTTGCTTTAGACAAATGAGACTCGCATGTGTACGGGCTGTACTGCAGCGATTCGGAGGGGTTCTACAATGAGATAAAATATCGACTAAATTATCTGAAAGATATTCGGGACTTTTCTTCTTTTCTTCCATCGTGTGACAGTACTGGGGAGCGAAAAGACGCCATTTTGGTGAGCTGCACTCTACTGAGGCTGTACGGAGACCAACTCGTAAACCATCACAAAACCTGCCAACTTGGAGGTCGTTCTCCAGTCTTACTGCATTGAGCAATCGGTTCTTTTCACCATCCATTCCAGAATCTAGTAGGCGGCAGTGATGTACAAGTCTTGTCTACAGAAAATGATGTGATCCTCCACACGCGGCTCCATTGATCTTGGAGCCCATGGTTCTGAGCTGACGTCAAATCACGGCCTTAGGTCTCCAGCTCGTGACGGCCCTCCTTGGAGTACAGGTACTCGTTCCTGAGTGGGGGTAGTGATTCCAAGAGTCAGTTTACACACATCTCAGCCCAGCCGCAAGGGCAAAGACAGCAGCGGACTGGGTCTGCCACTTGCTTACCTGTGGATAGCCCACTGCATGGCGTAGTAAGCGGCGACGAAGGGCGGGACCACGTAGAGGACCTGCCCTCTGAATCGCCGCCAGGTATTGAAGACGGCGGCGTTCGCGGCACCGGCCAGCGGTCGTTGCCGGTTTGGGGAAATACCGTACGTGATGATTCCCTTCTGCTTCAGGCCACCTGAGGACCAAGGGAAAAAAGACGAGCCGGTTAGCGCCAGTTCGTACCCCGCTGTCGTCGCCTCGGCCAAAACATGCCCGGATCGTGCTTCGAGAATCCCCCCTAGGGACGTCGAGGTTGGGGAGGAAGAGAGTGGCATGGATGCCGCCCGTTGCCTCTGCTCTGCTTTGCCGTATAGTTCTCCTCCCAGCGCAGCTGCGCCTGCGTCTATCGTCTCGTCGCCGGAATTGACTCACCAAAGTCACCCCATCCGCCGATGTACCTGCATGGTTTTGTATCTCGCGTTAGCAGTGAGGTCCGGTATGAAATGCTGCCAATTGCTCGTGGTAGGACTGCGAAAAGCAGGCCGACGGCGGAGCAGCGCCTAGGAGCGGCAGGGCCAAGGCCCGCACGCCTCCTCGTTGCGCGCTCCCCGATTGACCATGGCCGTTTGGGGCAGAGCGCGTACCTGTTGAACTTGCCCACCGGGGGGCCGCCGCCACCGCCGAGCAGAGTCTGGGTCGGCCTCATCGTGATTCGGGGTTGGGTGTGTTCGCGGGCGTGGACGGGGTTTCGGTCGGGTCGTTGGGCGAATTTGGCGGGCGGGCTTTTTTGGAAGCTCTTTCCTGGGCAAAGGATTTCGAGAATACCCGATGTTGGATGTTCGACGGCAAGTTCCCGAAATTCTGGCTCCCCAATCCGGTTTAGCTCGCTGGGCAGGCCAGTGGCGTGCCATTATTTGCAGGCCGCCACCCCACCCACCCCGGCCGAGAGCTCCGCACCATCGCAGTGGAGCCTCGAGAGCTCGAATTTGAACGCAGCTCGCTCCCACCCGCAAGTGCCGACGGTGACGACGACAACGACTAGCTGACGGAGGAAACAGCCGAAGACTACGAAGACTACCAAGATAGAGCCACCCCCGACAGCCCAGGCTATCCCGAGATCAATCGCCACCTTCGCGCCAGCCAGCCACCCCGCCAACCACCCTTCCCTTCCCACAGTCAGCCCACCATGGCCGCGAGACGCATGGGAGGCAGCATCTCGCTGCTGCTCGGCGGCGTTGTTGCCTCGGTGCTGGGCAACTCCCTCTACGACGTCAAGGGCGGCTCGAGGGCCGTCATCTTCGACCGCATCTCGGGAGTCAAGGAGGAGGTCATGAGCGAGGGCACCCACTTCCGCATCCCCTGGCTGCAGCGCGCCATCATCTTCGACGTCCGCACCAAGCCCCGGATGATCGCCACCACCACCGGCAGCAAGGACATGCAGATGGTCAGCCTGACCCTCAGGGTGCTCCACCGGCCCGAGGTCAAGGCCCTACCCAAGATCTACCAGGTGCGCTCTCTCTGGTGCGGGGAAATTTCGGGTTACAAAAGGACCCCCATCTTACTGACACCTTTGTCAAAATAGAACCTCGGAAAAGACTACGACGAGCGCGTGCTCCCGTCCATCGGAAACGAGGTCCTCAAGTCCATCGTGGCGCAGTTCGACGCGGCCGAGCTCATCACGCAGCGCGAGGCCGTGTCGCAGCGCATCCGGGCCGACCTCATGAAGCGCGCGGCCGAGTTCAACATCGCGCTCGAGGATGTGTCCATCACGCACATGACGTTCGGCAAGGAGTTCACAAAGGCCGTCGAGCAGAAGCAGATCGCGCAGCAGGACGCCGAGCGCGCCCGCTTCATCGTCGAGAAGGCCGAACAGGAGCGCCAGGCGAACGTGATCCGCGCCGAGGGCGAGGCCGAGAGCGCCGAGACCATCTCGCGCGCCATCGCAAAGTTCGGCGACGGCCTCGTGCAGATCCGCAAGATCGAGGCGAGCAGGGAGATCGCGCAGACGCTGGCGTCGAACCCCAACGTCGCTTACATACCCGGCGGGAAGCAGGGCTCCAACATTTTGCTAAACGCCGGCCGGGCATAGGTATGAGGATGGGACGGGATGGGAAGTGGTATCATGGTTCTATGCGCGTGCTTGCGCCCTTGTTTTGGGGGTCTGCGATATCCCGCGCGGATGTCTCCGAGCAAGCAGGAGTTCCGGTTGTAATATTAGGACGGCAGAAAGAAATGTAGCTTCCCCGCTTATGAATGTGTTAATATTTCCCCCTTGGCCAACGCTCTGTCCAAGAGACTCAACCGGGAAATGACCATTACGTGGGGAGGCTACGAGCCGTACGAGGTCTCGCTCGATGGATGAGCTAGACAAACGCATGATACGGGGGGTCCGGGTGTATAGACTGCGGCATCTTAAAACCCAACCATATTTCAACATACTACGCACCTGGGCATCCAGAAGTAATCAAGCCTTGAGAACCGTCATATCCAACCCTTGACGACTAGGGAGGGGGCACGAGCCGCTCGCCGACGGCCGTCCAGCCCTGCCTCTTCATGCGCTCCCACGCGCCCTTGACCTTCCACCGGACCAGGTCCCCGGCGGCCCTCGCGTCCTCGGCGCTGTCGTGGCCCTGCAGGCCGCCGCCGCCCTCGGGGGGCTCGACCTGGATGCGGCGGTTGAGCACGGCCTGCATGAGCGCGCGCAGGCCGTTGCGGACGGGCAGACCGCGCTTGTGCGGGTACAGCAGCACCGTGTCCACGAGCGTCGGGTGCACGACGCGCAGGCAGTTGAGGTCGTTCTCGAGCCCGTGGCCCATGAGCGGCGTCTCGCGCGTGATGTGGGAGAAGAGGAGGTCGCGGGCGACGACGGGCGAGGACACGATCTGCAGCCGTCTGCGCTCGCCCTCCTTTGTCGGCGGCGGCGGCTTGTCCTCATCGGACAGGGAAAAGGGCTGGGCGTTGACGATGTCCTCGGGGTAGACGCCCGAGTAGGCCGAGTTGAGGTCCAGGATCTCGCCAAAGGGGCGCACCAGCACGTCGACGAGCTCCTCGCCGCCGGGCCACGCCGTCGCCGTCAGGCGGATCAGCTCGAAGCCCTTGACCGTGTAGCCCATCTCGCAGTCGAAGCACACGGCGCGGTCCAGGGGCGCGTTGGCGTTGGCGGGCGTCTCGGCAAAGTTCCAGAGGCAGGCCAGCCGCTTGGGGTCCGTCGTCTTGAAGACGTGCGTGTCCTTGGTGGTGCAGCCGGCCGACTGCCCGACCGTCTCGCCGCAGCACCGGTACTGCCTCTCCGGGATCGACCGGTCCGTCGTCTGCCGGTTGGGGACGTAGGCCTTGCCTGGGTGGTGCGTGCACGCGCCGCCCGACGCCAGCGCGCCGTCCTCCTCCCTGCGGCCGGGGAAGACCTGGAACCGCTTGGTGCAGCGGTCGCACACCTCCCAGCCCTTGGTGAAGGCCTCGGCCTCTTTCGCCTTGGCTACCTCCTCCTCCGCCGGCACCTTGGGGACGTAGCCGAACTTGGCCAGGTCGTCTATCGGGGTCAACAGCTTGGTCGAGGCCAGCACCACCTCTTGCACCGCCGTGAGGCCCGTCTCGATGACGACGGGCTGGCTGGGCGACGCCGCCGGGCCCTTGTCGCCGCCCCCAGAGAGCGCCGCCTCGGCCGCCTTGATGGCCTGCACGCGCTCCTCGCGCCACTTCTCGACCGAGAGCTTCTTGCACGACATTATCCTACTCTTGAGCACCGACGAGTAGACGCTCTCGCGCGCCGCCGCGCCCTCCTCCTCGTCGAGGGCCATCCAGACCAGCTCCTGGTCCGAGAGGAGGAGCTTCTTGGTGTCGTCGTCCTTGGCCAGCTTCTTCAGCTCCCCGTTGAGGCGCGCGTACTCGCCGTGGAGCATCTTCACGAGCCTGAACCGCACTTCGAACCGGGCAGGGTTCGACTTGAGCGGCCTCGGGTTCAGGGTCTCTGGTTTCCTCGCCACCGCGGGAGGTGGCGGAGCTTCCTGTTTTGCTGCAGGAGGCGCCTTGTCGTCGGCGCTACTAGGCGGGCCCTGCGGCGCCTTGATGGCGCGTGTGTCTCTGCCTCTAGTTAGGACGCTATCATTCTCTGGTGGTGTGTCAGGGCGCTTCCTCTTGAGCGGAGGCGGCGAGACAGCAGCCCGCTGCGATGCGGTGGCGGCAGTTGAAGCAGTGCTGGTAGTGGCCGGGACAGGCTTGTTAGGCTGCGGCCTGATCACTGATGGGTCAGGACCGGGCGTGGGGTCTTCAGCCCATTCAGCATCTTCGGCTGTAAGATCTGGGAGCAGCACTGGCGGCGCGGTTGGGTCATATTCATCCGCGCCTGACCTGAGGCGCTTCCTGTCCGGACCCTCGTGAGACGACGGCTCGGCCGGCTCGCTGCTGCCTCTGGTGTCTCCCTTATCGACGTGGCGGAAGAGACACCTGACAGAAGTGCACGACTTGCCCGCAGGACAGTCTATGTGCTTGAAGATTTGCAGCTGTGCGTCCATGATTGCTTATTGCCGGCTGGACGCTGGTGTCAATTTCATTCACCCCCGATCTACGCGACCCGACGATGGCTGGGCTCGAGCGGGCGGGCCAGCAGCAAGGCAGCACAACATCAGCAGGGGCATGTATGTGACAGGGACAGACGTGAGATTCGGCCTGGCGCTGCGGTTGTGCACCCGCTCGGTCAAGACGCGCTGACGATGGCGTGCTCGACACCGCAGATAGGGCGGGGAGATGCGACTTGATGGATGGCTGGGACGGACTGATGAATGCTGTGCTGGTGGTGTTTGTTTTCGTGTTGGTGCCAAGGCTTAAGCTAGGCTTGGTCTTGGTGTCATAAGTTGAGGGTCAGCTGAAGCTAGCGAGCACAGCTCCTTAAGCTCAACCTTTCAGCACCTTGCTGGACCGCTAACTGGGTGGGGATCAATGCGCTTCAAGTGGAGTTAGCGGCTGCACGTTCCTGTTCCTGGAGAACCCCTGCGTGTTTCGGACTGTTCTCTTGGTTTTGATAACCGCATTTGGTCACTCCGGTCGAACAATGAAAGGCCCGTTTTTGGGGTTTGGCATGTGGTTGTATGCTGCATGCAGACAGAGCCTTGATAAAGACCTGGCCGACTACTACTAGTCCTACATCACTGCCCGTTCGTTTTCTTGGTAGTAGTTCAGGTACCACAGGGTTCGTCTGGTCTGGAATGTTGCACCGGATAGGAGGTAAGGGAGTTTGACCGAGGACAAGCTTGGGAGCTACCGTAGATAAGATGAAGCGCAAGATAAGAAGGATACAATCACCGCAAAGGCGGGAGTCTGCCCCATCGTGTGATATCAGATGCGTGCGCCGCTTGGAGAGCGCTTATTTAACGTAGAGGCCGGTGCTACTTGGTCCTCCTGCCTCCTGCCGCATCTCGCATCTCGCGTCTCTCACGGGCCGGGCTCAGACACGAAGACAGCTCTTGCTGGCTGTTTAAAGGCATCGTCGTCTGCTCTGGGGTCTGTCGGAGCGAGAGCGTGTTGTTTTGGCGTTGAACTAACGGCGACGGGCTTTGAGAGCACAGAGAACAAGTGGTTTCTCATTGCGGCGCAAGCCACAGCACGCTAGGGAGGTTGGTTCGATGCCGATGGAATCCACGGAAATCAAGCAGAGTCAAGGGCAACTACCTGGGACCCATCTAACCACGGCTTGCCTGAGCCACACCAGAGGCCAGACCCAATGGCACAGGACGGGGTGGCCGAGGCCCTGCCAAGCCCAAGGGGCGCTGGAGATAAGCGGGTTTCGGGCCCGGCGAGCAAACACCAGCGCAGCCCAAAGCCAAACCCCTGGCGGAACAAGGATGATGAGGCCCCCTGCACGGTAGAGACAGCGCACGGCACAGCAACGTCACCACTCAGCCTCCCACCGCCGCCTGCAGCGTCTGCGCCGCCCTCGTCAGCTGCACCCAGAGTTATTGACAGAGTTATTGATCGGACCAGAGCAGGCAGGGCCGCGGAGCAACGGGGAGCCGTAAATCCGGACGAGAAGACGCTCGCGGACGAGGACGAGGACGAGGACGAGGACGAGCCCTGCGACGACTACAAAACAAAACACCACCCGCTGCCAGCGCTGCAGCAGTTCTGCGCCACGCCCCTCGGTCTTCTCGTTGCAAACAACGCCATCAGCCTCTACGCCCTCTTCACCATGGACACGGTTATTGAATGCAGCGGTGGCACCCCCGAGGCAGACCACCTCTGCGTGCTGGTGCATGGTGTAAGTTTATTGATGTCTCCCGTCCTCTATTTAGGTTTCCTGTTGCATCCTTGCAGTTGCAGATGGGATTGAGGGTGTGAGCGAACAAGCCACGTGGGAGAGCTGCAAAGGCCTGGCGTGCGCACCTGCAGCTTCTCGGCCGAGTCACTCGAAATACATGGAATCCGCCCGCGCCGCAAATTCACACCATCGAGCTGAGCTGAACGCAAGCTGACTCCCGCCTTTCCCACCGCAGCTCTGGGGAAACCCAGCACACCTAGCCCAGGTCGCCAAGGCACTGCGTGACCAGTACCCAGTCGACAAGGTCTGGATCAAGGTCGCCAACCGCAACAGCGGGTCCTTCACCTACGATGGCATCGAACTCGGCGGCGAGCGGCTGTGCCTCGAGATCGAAGAGGAGCTGCAGCTCATCGAGAGCAAAGGCGGCAAGATCAAGAAGTTGAGCCTTGTTGGCTACTCGCTTGGTGGTCTGGTTGCTCGCTACGCCATCGGTTTGCTGCACGCCAAGGGCATCCTTGACCAGGTCGAGTGCATGGTGAGCACCATTCATCTCCATGTATGCGTAGAAATCATGACAAGACCGACTGACCTTCCCTGCCAACAGAACTTTACCGCCTTCGCCAGCCCTTTCCTAGGCGTCCGGACGCCTCTTAAGGGATGGGCAAACCACGTCTGGAACGTCCTGGGCGCCCGCACCCTCTCCATCTCGGGTCGCCAGCTGTTCGGCATCGACAAGTTTCGCAACACTGGCCGACCACTGCTCTCAGTTCTGACTGACCCCAACTCCATCTTCATGTCGGGCCTGCGCCGATTCAAGCGCCACACGCTCTACAGCAACATCGTCAACGATAGGGCCGCAGTGTACTATACCACGGGCATTACCAAGACGGACCCCTACGTCGACCTCGACAAGATCCGGCCCCGCTACGTGCAGGGATACGAGGATGTCATCCTGGACCCCATAAGCCCCTTCTCGCCTCGCCCGCCCTCGAGTCAAGGCCCTGACCACCAGCCCGGGAGTCGAGCGCTCAAGTGGCTAAAGAGGGTGCCCTTCTTTGTCGCTCTCGCCATCTTTGTCCCCATCGGCGTGCTCGCATTTCTGGTCAACTCTGCCATCCAGACGGTCCGGTCGTCTAAGCGTGTAAAGGCCCACAACCGCGGGCTCACCGACGTTGACATATCCGTCTATCGGGTGCTTCCGCTGTGGATTAAAGAGATGCGCGGTGCCGTCGAGGATGCCTACGAGAATCTCAACAGCTCCCAGAATCAGGAGTTCCTGGGCAGCGCGTCTGATGAGGACGACAGCGAGACCGAAGGCGCTCCTCCCGCCGCTGTACAAGCCAACGGTGATAGCACCGGCACGAACGGGACAAGCGGCGCCAATGGCGCCTCGAAGAAGAGAGATAGTGAAAAGAGGTGCAACGGTGATGCCGGGGCGGCAGCGGCCGCCGAAGTCACACCCGAGGAGGAGGAGGAGGCCGAGGGCGAGGCCATCCTGGCCCTGGAGCGCAAACAGAGCCACCCGGGGCAACCCACGCTGGCGCTGGCCCCCTACCAGTTCAAGATGATCGAGTCGCTCGACACGCTCAAGTGGCACAAGTACCCTGTCTGGATCCACAAGAACAACCACAGCCACGCCGCCATCATCGTCAGGACCGTCAAGCCCAGCTTCGACGAGGGATATGTTGTGCTCCGCCACTGGCTGAACGAGGAGTTTATCATTTAACTGTGGCGGCACCGCCAACTAATATCTGTTCCTATATCAGTGTTGGCCTTAATCTTTTTTTTGCATTTCTCTACAGCCTTCCCCCTTTCGTTCCTTTTCATCTTTGCATGTCTTTGGGTGTTGGAGTGATACCCAGGAATTTCGGAGCGCTGTTTTTGCAGACAGTTTCTTTTTTCGCATTGATAGACGCTTGACTTAGATAATCTACTAGAACCACCTTCACGGAAATCTCTAGGCCCCCTTATGGGTGCCCTGGTAGGGCTTTTGGGGCAATGATAGAGCAGCCATCTGGGAGGTACCTATTTGACTATGGCTTTCTCGGACTTGCATTCACCCATCCTTGGTGCTAGCGCTGATGCCCACACGGCTGTCTGACTGATCCAGCCGACTTCTAGTTTAGTGCTTCCCTTGATCGGAGAATGTCGCTGATCCGAGGAGCCCCTTGCCGGCGACGAAAAAGGTAGACTCGAACCCGGCCAGGAGTCCCAGCAGCACGCTAATACAAGACACGCAACCTTCTGTATGGAAGTCAACCCAGGCTCATGAGTAAACAAGACAGAACAGCCCAGAAAAGTGAGGGTTACTTGGGTCTGGCTCGATGGGCCTGCCATTCTCCTATGAAGGCCCCGAGTGTTGTTTCCTGTTTCTGTGGAGGTTCAGAAAGCTCAGAGTAAAACTGGTGATCGTAACAGGGCTGTACAGAGCCCTGGCTGGACAAAGAATGGCGGCCGGCTTGGAATCACACTGATAAGTTTGTTATCAAAGACGGACCGAGCGAGACTGACATGGAAAGGGCGTGCTTGGGATTTCACCCTCTGGTCTACTTGGTGGGAAGATCTTGGGTCACCAGGCTCTTGCAGCGCTGGTCATACTCCTCGGTGCGAAGCATATCCTCGTCGTTAATTTCCTTGTCCTTGCCAGTGAAGACCAGCTGGCAGAGCTTGTAGGTGATGTCGACACCGGCGCCCGCTCCCTCGATGAGGTTCGAGCCGAAGATGAGCTTGTTGAGGCTGGTGAGCTGATACTCATCCAAGGCAGCCTCGTCTGCTGGTGTCAGATTCTGGAGCATTCTTAATCGAGTGCAGAAGGGAACGGCCATATCGTCGAGTCTGCAGGAGCCTGTTTAGGCAAGGTCTGATGGGGGATGCCCGATTGTGGTACCTCTGCGAGAGCCGTCAAATTGGGCCAGCTGACGACAGATGCAGCCAGCGGGCGAAGCCACATATTTCGGCACACACATTGAGACCCCGAAGTCCTTGGCCAGCTCCCAGTTCCAGACTGGACATCGTTCAAATACCCCAGCGATCAAGAATGGGCGGGCGCCAGGCAGGAGTTCTCCAAGAGCCTGAAAGTCGAACAGAAACGATGCCCGCCTCATGCTGGGTCCTAGGACTTGCTTCAGCTTAGCCTCGCCCCCAGCCTTTCTGGTGAGATACTGGCAGCCGGTGATCACCTTCTCGGCGTCTGGTGGCGGAGAGCCCGCACGTTCATTCCCCAGCCTCAGATATGACGTGGGTGATCGATAGGGGTAGCTTTGTTTGGAACGGTTGCGTCTTGAAAGGCGACGACATGTGCCCGATCCCCCAGAATGCAGGTGACTCTCCCATCGAAGTGGACTCTAGAATCAAGATATCAGCCTAAACCACCCTGCCACCGGGCACCTTGTCGATCAGCTCTGCCTTGGTCTTCGGGCCTGTCTTTTTGTGGGCTTATCCTCATCGGCCTCTCGCCATCTATCCACCAGCAGCCCCAAGATTTCTCTCCGTCGTGTAAGGAGGGGCCACATACCAGCGCTAATCGTTGCCAGGGATGGGGACGTGTAGGTATCGTTGCATGGTGTCTACAACCAGCAACTCTGGTGGCAGATGACCTGTCTCTAGACGTGTTGAAAATGCGAGATGGCGCACGGCGGTGACATGTGTTCTCGTCTTGGGTATAGGAAGACGTTCCTGCCGAGGCCTCGAAGTGGCTCCGGGCCGAGGTCGCCGGGGAATTCGTGATACCAGTCTCCTATAGCCGACTGTACAGGATTCGTGAGTCTTGTCATTTAGCCTATCGGATCCTCGGCGGCGCTAACATGCCCCCGGCGCGTGTCCCCATTCAAGGCGGCCTTGCCAAAGGTGCCCTCGTGATCACCGTGTGCCCTAGTCTAGGCCATCGTCTTTGATGGGATGCTCCGTGACAGGCTGGATTTCGTGCAAAACCGCCCAGTTTACGCGTGTCTTCCGTGGGAAGGCTATAGTCTCCGTCGTTTTGCCTAGGATTCGGCTCGGGTCCGGTGGTGGCGGCATTCTGTCGAGCTTGTCCTCTTTGCAGCAGCAAGGGTTAGCTTCAAGTACTGGGGACATATAAGAAGGGGCGCAGGCTTGTCTGCGTCTGGTTCCTTCTGCGATCTTACTAAATTCAGGGCCTCTCATCGGTCGAGTCTTTTATTCCTTGTTGTATTTCCTCACCACGAATGCCCATTCTCTGCTTGACCGTGTCAAGGTCGAAAGCGCCGGAGAATCCTAAGATTTTCCCTTTCAGAGTGCCGAACACCTTTTCGAAGGTTACTTGTCGCAGTTCTTTTCTCCCGGTTTCGCTTTGATGGCTGTGCCATCTTCGCCGTCCACCATACGCTGAATCATATTTGCCGTTGCCGTCGACAAATAGTCCTGTCTCGGGTCATTTGGCTCAGTTTACCTGCCCTCTTCTGGTATGTCGTCAGGGGTTCACCGGAATTTAAAGCAAAGAAAATAGCCTCACCAGAGACCCTCTCGTCCGTTAATGTGAGGCGCTCGTCTCTGGGAGACCTCGTGGGGAAATGAAGCTCGATTGTAGCTACCTATACCAGTTGTGGCCTTCACCTGCGGCGGTTCAGAGACCACTAGGATCTATATGCTGAACCGAGCCTTCCTCTTGATGCTCCTCTCAAGTTGTACGTGCTTGTTCTGTGAGCTTCTCGTCCAAGCGAGACCAGTGTGAGCGGATTCGGAGGGCACGAGACAATCTTTTTGCGGGTGAAACCATTTGGTCGATGACATTCGGTGATGAGTTCGGTGTTTCTCGCGCACGGAGCATCCGCCATGCTCGACGGGTTTCCTGGGTAGACCAGATGACGGACAGAGCCACGCTATCTTCTACGGACCGCCTGTCGTCCTGGCTTCCGGCAACGACAGTGGCATACAACACACCCTTAACGTCGGTCTCAGGGTATCTCTCCCTTTGGGGAAACCGAGCCAGTGCAAGCGGCACGGCGAGATGCTCCACAGTCTTGAGATGGCGTGTATAGAGATGGTGGGCTTGTTCGGCGGGATGTTCTTGGAGGGGTCTTCAGGATACGTGATGATCTCGGATTTTGGCGTGACATCTACCGCGGCTCTTGTTGTGACTCTCGTCGTGACTATCATCGTGTCAAGCCCGTCTGCTCATAGGTGCTCACTTAATTAGCCAGTGTTCCACGAAGTTCCCTTGCTGGTCAGCATGCCGATGAGCCTTCCGAACCACGGCACATAGCTCGGTGTTTTCCTTGACACCTGTTCGCTCCGCTTCTGTTAACGGACAAGGTACTGAATCTAGAAGTTCTTCGTACCAAAGTCAAGGTGCCAGCATCGGCACCCAAGTACCTTCTTCACTGTCGGACTCGGGACGCCTCTCAGTTGGGTAGCTAGCCAGTCCCTCGGGTATGGAAAAACGCGACCCGGAGCTAGCCGTCGACGGCTAGCCTGCTGAACCTCTAGGTCAGTGAGGCAGTTCGTGGATTCGAGGCTCATCATGGACTCCTGTGGTCAATCTTTAGAAGCCTCCGAGAAGAATTACCGCGAGGGTGGCGTCCAAGTGCACACGGCGGTTTTGGGCCATCGACCTCCAGTTCCGCCAAATGTGTGAGGAGGTTCTGCGCAACCTTGAAAACTCGGCCGTGCACAGGCAGCGTACACTCCGTCGCGCACACACGCAAATCTGGGGTCGGCTCGAGTAGGCTTGTGCTGTTGGATTGCTGACAAGTTAAATACCCTGCTGCCTCAGGAGGCCGCAGAAGGCAATCTTGATGGCTTTGGAGTAAAACTAGAGCACATACCATAGCTTGTGCGACGTCCTACCACTCAAAGCTATCGAAAATGCCGATCAAGGGTTGCCTTGGCTGGCGCCCTTGCCTTTGGTGAAGACCCTGCTCCTGGTGTGGTGAGTGATATGGTGAAAGTCTCGCGGCCGACAGGTGAAAGGACCATATCTTGCTGTGACTTCTGCTGCGATTTCGGCTGAACGCTGCTGGGGAGCCGTCGAATCTAGAAAAAGGACGTGTAGCACTATCTAAGATTATGGAGTATGAGTGCGGTATCAGAGCAGTCCTTGCACAACGGTGGGGTGATATCCAACGAAGCTCTTTCAACCTACTTGTCTGTACTCTACCGGCAGAGCTACATAAGCTGGTTCGGCGGATTGCTCCGTAGGTTATGTGGTACCCAAGAGATCCCGCACCGGGCTGCCAGGCCGGCCGATGCTGGGAGACGCTGCCCCCGATGGCCTCCATATGCAAGTTTGGGTCACGCATTTTGAGAGACGTCGATACGAGCTTGTAGCGCGGGGGGCCTCTTCCCTGGATCTAGGGAGTTGCCGGATGTTGATCACCAGGCGTAGTGGCATTTTGGGGACCGGTCTCTGGTCGCGATGTTATTCCGTTGAAAGTCGGGCTAGCGAAACAAGGCGCTAGATGACCGCTAAAGGTGCCTGCAATGTCCTCCCGCAATGTAGGCGCGCATTTCTTTCCCTGCGAGTGTGGGAGCCTGGCCTGGTATTGGGTTGATATGTGGACCCTGAAAGCTGTCCATGGCGGAGTGGGTAGCTGGTTGGATGTTAAATTTTGGGCTCGAACCGCCTAGGTAGGACTGAATGTGCTGGCCTGGTGTCTGTTTCGAGTCGTATGTAGTCCCATATTGGTCATCAGCGCAAAACAGCACAAACTTGCAATATCGCCTTCGCCGGTTATTTGCAAAACGGCAAGATAGCGTTTGTGGACATACTTGTTTTTGAAATATAAAATATCGACGACAGGCTTTTCCTTGAGACAAACGACATTAACGATAAGTTGGAAAAACGCCAGGGTAAAAGCCGCGACGAGCAACTGAGGTAAGCCTCGTGCTTAAAACACACGCTATCATCAACAACACCAACAACAAACTGGAAAAGCGCCAGGGCAGAAGCCGCGACGAGCAACTGAGGCATACCGATGTCCACCAGCGCCGTCCTATTCGATCGTCGTGTTTGTAGCTGCCAGTTAGGTAAAGGGCAAATTACCAACCGACATCTGGGAGATTTCGCCCCCGAGAGCCTCACTACTTGAACCAGCAGCTGGTCGGCCATTGTATCTTTGTATAATCAGGCTGCGATGTCAAGGACGATATGTCTCGCAAAACCGATAAAAACCACTCCCAGGATATTGACTGTGGATGATCAGAAGTGAGAGATGTGTTACTTGGGGATAGTAGTGCTACTGCTTCATCACATTTACAGGGCAGCATCATGCAGATAGGAAAAGAACCGAGCAAGAATTATCAATTCCATTAAGAATAATTATAGCAAAGATCCCCTCATCCCACCACTGTGTCCCAGATGAGTGGCCCTTGGCCAGCTCTGTGCCATTCTCCGCTGGCAAAAATCACCTCCCGGCCTATCCTTCGGCAAACTCGACAAGAAGTGAAAAAAGGAAAAAGGAAAAAGAAAATACAGAGAGAGAGAGGATGGGGGCCTGTGCCCACCCATCAAGCCTGGCGCTGCCTCTTGTTGGCCGACTGGCCGCCCTGGGAGCCCGCGGACTCGTTCCCGTGCTAGATTGAAATCAAGTTAGCATTGACATCCCCAAATCACAGATCTACAGTCTAGACTTTGGAATGGTGGCTGTATGGCACTGACCTGCGAAGGCGGCGATAGGTGCCATTCCGGCACACGCGCCGGAGGCATCGGCCTAGCCAGGGCTCCAGCGGCCGGCCGCTTTGCACCGAGACGGGGCTGCCGTTTCTGTTGAAGCACATGAGATGGACACTGTCAGTATTGCGGCTTGATTTAGAGGCAGCACAGGCACAGGGCCAGGTATGTACTAAACCAGGACTGGGGGTAGGATGTGCGGGTGGAAGCCGGGGATGGGATATAACTATACCAGCCCGTTGGAGGCCGAACCCAAGCCCTTGTAGAACAAGGCCTGGGTCTGGACGACCCTGACCATCACCTCCCTGCAGGTCAGGGCGAGGTTCAGCATGTGGGAGTGGTCGCCTCGAGACCACTGGTACTTGACGCCGGGGAGCTGCATGCTTAACCTGTTGTTGTAAAGGTAATGCAGCATCGCGGGGGAGGACCGGAAGTCCATGGGCTTGCCGAGATAGTAGAGCTCCATGGCTTCTCTGTTCACCTTGGTGCCGGGGACCCGACGCTGCACGATGGACTTGCCCAGGCTGGGAAGTCCCGCGACAATGTGCTTGAACAGCAATGCCTTGACCGAGCCAGGTAGGCGATGAATGTCACTGGGGCCCAGGTTATTGGCCATCGTGACATCGGTGGTCGAAGGGGCCAGGCTGTGCTGGCGATGCTGGGAGTGCTGGCCGGCGGCAGGGAATGGGCTGCGGAGGGCCACCGCGTTTGAGACTCGCATAGTCTCCATGCTGGCAGCATACTCCAGCTTGCTACGCTCGAGCGCGGTCTCAGCGGCAAGGATGGCGGCTTTGCAGTTGCCAAGCTCTGAGACCACATTGTCTCTGGCATCCTCGGCCCTCTTCTTGGCGCGCTTGAGCTCCTCGACCTCGGTCTTGGTGTCCTCAAGCTGCTTCATGGTCCTGATGTTCTTGTCTTCGGCCTGCCAGCGCTTGGATGTGACCTCACGGAGGTCGACAAACGACTTGATGAGGTTATCGGTGAGGCTCAGGCTCGACCCTGGAACAAGCCCGCCCCGCATGGCGGCGGCATGGTCATCGCGCCTCAGGTTGGCCAACTCCCATCCGCACTTGTTGGCCCACTGGAGAGCTTCCTCCTCGGAGTCGCAATCGTCACCAAGCTGGAGGAGCCGGACAAGGGTGGCAGCAAGCTTGTCTCTGTCCTCCTTGAGGTCTTTGATGTCCTTGACGGCATCGGCAAAGCTCAGGGCCGCATCGAGGGCCGTGTCGTAGGCGTCCATTACCTGACGACTGATAGGCACTCCCTCCTTGTGGATCCGATGCTCCGTGATCTCATAGGCGAGTTTCTGAATGGCCCGGAAGCAGGGCCGCTTCTCGGTCACCAGCAGCTTGAGGCAGTACACGCCTCGGTAAGCGCAACCATCGCATCGCTGGTTGCCACTCCGGAAGGTGCAGATCCGCTCCGGGTGCTCCCTGTAGTCATGGAGACAGTGGAGGCAGAGCGCGCGGTCCGTCTGGCGGAGGATTTTCTTGTGTTCCCAAAATGCATTGTCAGTAATCCCGCGCGCATCAAAAAGATGGGACACATCGTTCCTGGTGGTAATGGTGGTGATGGCGGTGGGTGACAGAATTCAAGATTCCGGGTTGACCGTGGCATCATTTGGCACTCACCAAAAGCTCATCTCTGACTTCAGGCGTCATTTTCGCCAGCGCGGGAAGCTGCCTCGCGCCGTCGCCATCTGGGGCCGCAGAGGCCGCAGAGGCCGGTATCTTAGCTCCCTCAATCTGGTTTTGCGCGGGAAGGGCTTTACCGGCCTCTTTATCTGGGTTTCCTGTCGGCATATTGCTGTTCTCTAAAGTTGTTGTCGGGGGTTGATTCCCAGACTGCTCGAGCACCTGAGATTTTTGACCGGCCTCGCTCTGTGGGTCGTTGGGTTCCTTGGTATTGCCTTCCTCCTTCTTCTTCTTCCTGACCACCTTAATCTTTTTGACGGCCTGGCTCTGTGGGCGCTTGGGGGCCTGGTCCTTGGGGTCCTCTTGCTTGACTCCAGGAGACTGTCTGCCAGCCCCGCCAGCTGGACACTTGAGGCCCGTCGTATCGGTGGGCTCTTTCTTGATCTGGTCGGGCATCTTGTACTGTGGCGCTGCTTGACAGTTAGTTGCGATGAGATAGTACCTTGATCTATGGTCCGCAGACCGTGGTGACGATATTTTGTAGATGCTAGACGTTTCGCGTGGGATTCTTACAATGATGGCAGCTGACCGTGGTGAGATGAAAAGAGGTGGTGCCGTCTGAGATATGGTGTCTGGGCGATCTGACGCGGCTGGAAATTTGGGTTGAGGAACAAGAGAGGAGCAAGAAAAGAGGACTGGGCGGTCTTTGGTGCCTGCCAGTTTTGATATCAGCCCTGACCCACACCACGCCCGGCCACATGCAAATGGGCTCTCAGTTGAGAAGGCACAAAGGTAGGCGCATACGTGGATTTATTGTAAGGCTGATATGGTGGCTATAAATACATGAGCTATCAAAAATAAAAGGTAACAAGTATCTCTCAATGGCCGGCATTAGCATGTGGCAAAATGATACAGGATGAGGAAGTTTGGAGCACTGCAGCATGGATACGGCCTTTTTTGTCGTGACTATGGAATACCTAAAATGATCCTTGGTGCTCTGCTTAGGTGACCGAACCAGATATCATTTCCCCAGATAGTAGGTGAATATTTGGACTGATACTGCGCCTTCTACTCCCCAAGCTAAATAGATACTGACCTAGCCAGGAAATGATGTCCATTCAAGTTCCCAACCGGAGCACTGGTAGTTTACCCTCCCATTAAGATATATAACCGTTTATATTCATTACATGTAAGAATATGAAAATACGATGTCTAGCGGCCACGGGAAATTAAAGCCCCATTGAACCAGTGTCGATGAATAACACGAGGTTGAGGCTGCTGTCCTTATCTCCAAGAGCTCGTGGGCTAGTGGCCACCAAATACGGAGTATTTGTCGTAGTCTGGGCTGACATATATGGGTTTCCCAGCTGAAGCTCTAGAGGGACGGCTGGACGTCTTGGCTACGCCGGCCGAAGGGCGCCGGGACGGCATGTACTCGGACGTGACAGACTCGGCGACGCGCGCGCGCCGCCGTGGGGGCTCTGGCCGCCTTGCCTGAACGGGATTCCTTGGGCTAGCAACAGGCCCCTTGGCTGTTGGCTCCCTACCAGCGGGGGGTGGCATGGGGCGTGTGTTGGTGACCTCCAGGATGTGCGGCTCACCGGCGGGGGTCTCGAGCACCAGCGGATGGGGCTTCATGTGAGGCGATGGTATCAGTATTACGACCTCCGCTTGTTGAAGACACAAACAATCAGGCAATTGGCAGCTCAACACTTACAGTTGCGCTGTCGTTGGCGCCTTGGGTCTCGGCCGTCTCCTCGGAGGGGTCCCTGGGCTGATCGGGCTTCAGCAGCTTCTGGAGTCCCTTGATCCTCGTCTGATCCTCCCGACACTGGGCCTTGAGCGAGCTCTCCAGCTTGTCCCACGCCTCTCGCTCCTTGTCGTAAGCCTCCTTTTCCCGGACAGAAGTCTTCTTAAGCTCTTTGTACCGTCTGTTTGCGGCGATGCGCTCTTGCTGGAGCCTGTCGAGCTTCTCGGCCATGTCTCGCTTCACTTCCTTGGTCGCTTCGTACTCGCTGACCATGGCCGAAAGACGCTCCCTCATCACTCTCTTTCTCTGCTGCAGCTTGTCAAGATGCTCTGTCTGGGCCCTGAGCCGTGCGCGGAGCCGGGCGACCTCGAGACGGAGATCGTCAGTTGCGCTAGGCATCCGGCTCTGCGTATGGTCAGTGCCTAATCACTAGAGGCTTCCCTGTTACGCCAAGCGAGGATGATTCTCTCACTGGCAACGTACCTTGGAGACAGAGGGAGGGTCTCCAACTGGGGCCTGGGCTTTGCCAGCGACTGAATTGCGACGCCCCATGGCAGGGTCGGACGGGTTGCACCGTGATACTGCAGAGGACGGTTGCGGGATTAAGGTGGGTTTAGACTACAATCACTCGAGGTACGAGTGAGTTGCCGCGAGAGAGATACGCAGAGGGCTCGGATAGCAAGGCAAAAGTAGAAGTATGGCCGATCGCAGGCGAGAAGTACTCCAGCGGGCCACGTTTAAAACTTGCAAGATGATAAAACGCCTCGAGAGCACCAGAAGCAAACAGCGTGGCGATGGGTAAGGTTTGTGGTTGGCGTGCAAGTCCCCGGGTGTTTGTTTGGTGGGGGAGGGGGAGCATAAGAAATTTGGGACCAGATCGATTGCCGTGTTGTTTAGCTGTTTTTTTTTCTTTTTTCTGTGCAGCAGGACGCTGGGTCGCGGTCTGGGTACCACGCAACGCGCTACCCACTTGTTTTTGTGCGGGCAGATAGATTCAAGCCAAAGTGGCAGCGAAGTGGGAGGGAAGTATGTGCATCCAACTTGTATTAAATCCAGTCCCCAAAAGTGCAAAGCTGTCCCATATGAGAAGGGCTGTCCTGTCTTAGCAGCAAAAAGCTGTCCTGTCTTGCCAGCATAAATCAAAGGGCCCTGAGCATAGCTAGAGCTGGCAACGTAGCTCTCCCACGACATATATTTTCTCTGGTGCAAACAGCAACGGCTAACTTGCATACGGGGGCACCTACCTCGCCAAGCAGGTGCATACCCGGTACCTTGGTTGGTACCTGGCCTTATCCCCATATCTAGCTGCACTATGGGAATGCGAGACGCAAGCCAGCATCATCATAGGAGTCTTTACTATATTCAACAAGCCTGGCAAGAGCTGGATTGCGATGCGGAGGCTGCAAATAGGCGCACTTACAACAGCAGCGCCACTTATAAATCCTGGTGGTTGTCTGGAGCTGCCCGCTGATGACACGCGCCCCACTCAAGAGGACGGGAATGCCAGACACCAGGCCGGATTGGGAAGGAGATGCATGTGCTCCACCCATACAACCACTTAACCCGTCGATCGTGTGTGCTTCTGCCGAGCCAGGGGTTTCGTGTTGCGGCGCCCCCCAGACAACAGCCAGATGCGGAGAGGAAGGAAGGGAAACTCGCCCAGCAACTCCACACCGCCGCAGCCGAGCCTCGCACGGCCAGCCAGGGCGATGACCACCCGCCGCGTCTCCCAGGAGACCTCCAAGTACTTTGCCGCCGCCGTCGCCTCGCCCCGAAGGTCCGCACGCGTCTCCCTCTCGCGCTTCGCGCACCGCGAGCGCGCCCTGGCAACTGCAACAAAAGACGTCGACAGCGAAGGCGACAAGGACGACAGTGACTCCGGCTCCTCCGGCTCCTCCGGCTTCTCCCCCGCCGGATCGGACATCGAAGATGCCGTCCCCCCCGGGCGTCCGGTTCGCCCTCGTCGGGCCCCAGCCCGCGGGAAGGTGAGCGCCTCGTCGATAGTCGCGGAGGCGACACGGAAGCGGAAGCGGACCGCCACGGTGGTGGCCACAACAGCCGTCATAAAAAGCGAGACCTCAACTACCGAAACGACAGTCGAGGCCGGCTCCGAAGCCGACCAGAAACCAGCGTCCAAGCCCCGGCGCGACCGCAAGCCGGCGCGGGCGCGGACGGACCCCACGACCGGGGTGGTCAAGGTGGAGCCGCCGTCGGACTGGGAGGAGATGTACGCGCTTGTCAAGGAGATGCGCCTGACGGGGCCGGCGAAGGACGCGGCCGTCGACACGATGGGCTGCGAGCGGCTGGCGTCGCCCGACGCGTCGCCCAAGGACCGACGCTTCCACACGCTGATCGCGCTCATGCTCAGCTCGCAGACCAAGGACACGGTCAACGCCGTGGCCATGGCCCGCCTCAAGTCGGAGCTGCCGCCCTGCCGCGACGGCGCCCCCGCGGGCCTGAACCTGGACAACGTCCTGGCCGTCGAGCCGGCCGTGTTGAACAGTCTCATCTACGGGGTCGGGTTTCACAACAACAAGACCAAGTATGTCTCGCTCTTCTGGGAACACGACAGCCTTTACTACACAAGACACATATTTCCTATCGTGGTAGTCTTTCTTCTGAAAGACAAACCCAAAAGACCCGGAGAGCTGCCGCTGACAAAGACGCGCCCACGCGTCCAAACAAAACAGATACATCAAACAAGCAGCCGAGATACTCCGCGACCGGTGGGCGGGCGACATACCCGACACGATCGAGGGCCTCATGTCCCTCCCCGGCGTGGGGCCCAAGATGGCGCACCTCTGCATGTCGGCGCCCAACGGCTGGGACCGGGTCGAGGGCGTCGGGGTCGACGTGCACGTGCACCGCATCACGAACCTGTGGGGGTGGAACGCCTCCTCGGGGTCCCCGACCAAGAACCCCGAGGCCACGCGCGCCGCGCTCGAGTCGTGGCTGCCCCGCGACCGCTGGCGCGAGATCAACTGGCTGCTCGTCGGGTTCGGCCAGACGGTCTGCCTGCCTGTCGGCCGCAAGTGCGGCGGCTGCGAGGTCGGCCTCGCCGGCCTGTGCCGTGCCGCCGACCGGAAGAAGGTGGCCGAGGGCAGGAGGATGAGGGAGGAGGGAGGGGTCCTTCTTAGGAAGAAGGATGAGGTTGCGAAAGTCAAGATGGGCGGCCTCGACGACTGCGGCGGCGGCGGCGGCGGCGGCGGCGTGGCTGCAGCAACTCTGAAGAATGAAGAGGAGATCACGGCGGTCAAGAAGGAGGAGACGGTGGAGACGGCCGTAAAGCAGGAGGCTGCGGATGAGCTGGTGCCGATCAAGGAAGAAGCGCCCGAGTCACCAGACGCGCGCCCGGCAAAGACGCGGAGGCGGGTCAGGGGTAGGTAATAAGAAAAAGCCGGGCTGGCCGGTCGGGGGTGGTCCCTGACGTATGTAGCTCCACCGCCCACCACAATCTCCAGATTGGAACCTAGGTACCTACTGTACTGTACTACACAGACCCCATCATCCCACCCTGTTGTGCAGCAGCATCACCGCGGGAAAAAAGGAGCCGTTGGAAATGACAATGCCCACGTGTAGAAAAATGGCGGGCGGCCAGGGTGACTGCGCCAGTGATGCCTACCGCCCACGCAACGCTAAGGAAGAAACCTGAAGGATGGGCGGGCCATACGACATCGGAGATTGTGGCCCATGCTCCACATTTAAATCGGCGGCGCGGGCAAAAGCGCTGTGGAGCATGACGATATCAGAGGGGGGGGGGGATTGAGGGAGAGTCATACGCCTTCTCTGGCCCAAAAGGAAAAAGAACCACCCTGATTTGTAATTCCTTGGCCGCCCGTCGCACATGCGTGCGTGCGATTCATTGAGCTGCGTTGAATCACCCTGGCAGTGATGTGTTTCTCTCTTTATCTCATGCACACGCACACACCGTGTGCGCCACCCCCCAACAGCCGAACCCGGAACTCCACGATGATGGCGAGATGTTGGCACCAACCGAGCCTTGCAGCCGGCCGGGCAGGGATGGTCGGAGGAGACACGCCGCCGCGTAGGTGACGATATCCGCTGTAATAATATTCACAAAAAGTCCAGCGAGATCAGAAAGTCAAGTGCTGGTTAGACATATAATCACTCACGTTCATAGTTGAAAAGGATCATCTTGCAAAAAGTGAAAAAAGGTGTATATTCAAGGTTGCCATTCGCAAAGCCGACTACGCCTTACTGGCGTGTCAACAGGCTAGATGCGACAAATGGACATATCCAAAATCAAAACAGCGCCCACAGAAGGGCGCTCCCAAACCCCCAAAAAAGAGCATCCCAGGTGACCTTTCCTAACGCCATGCAAGAACATAACTGGGGAAACGGGGCAAGTGTAATAAGCGAAGTCGAGACGGCGGGGATTATGCGGCCAGCTCTTGCATTGCTGGGACGCCTTCCGCCCGTGACGACAGAGAAACGGTCTGGCGTTGCGGCTTGTATAAGCCGAAAGCGGAGACCGAGTGATGTGATGAGCGCGTGCGGAGGGGGATTATAGATTCGAAAAAGCCGAGGGCGGAGATAGTTGTGTGGTTTTTTGTGGTGCGAAGCAGACCGCTCGTCTTCTCTATCCAAGATGGCGAGCGTTCGGTTCGGTGTGCCTCACTCGGCAGGCCATCGTGCTTCGGGCGTAATGCGCCAAAGACATCCCGTCGATAAAGCAAGACGGTATCCGCGTGGCGGCGAGGCCTTGGCGTTACCGAGTACACCGTTTCGACGATTCGGAGGCCTCTTCGTCTGCGCCAACTCGGCGCGAGGGAGGGTGCTTCCGGAGCGTGACTCGGCGGGTCGGGCGCGCGTCGCCTGCATTCGTTTAGACGCCCCGGATGACTTGGGTGCGCTCGGCCTGCAGTTGGGCGGCGTTCTGCTCGTGCGCCTCCTTTTTGCACTGTTGGGCAAGTGTGTCAGCACAACATGATTCACACATGATTCACGCCGCTTGCACTGTGGTTGTGCTGGGCTGCATGGCCCAGGACAAGAGATCGCGATCAAGCCCAACGAGCCACCAGCCAGAGTCAGGCACACATACGTCTTCTAGACCCTCGCACTTGTGGTCCTCGAGCAGGCGGTGCTTGCCGCAGAAGTGCTTGTTGCAGAAGGCGCAGTCACCGACGATGCGCTGGGCGGCGTCCTTGCAGCCGTTGAGGTCGCAGCGGAGTTTCCTGGGGCCAGCCATGTTGACGTGTGGTGTGGTGGGCGGAGAGAAGTCGACAAGCGAGTTTCTGTCGTGCCCGAGGAAGGGTTGTTGGGCCGGCGTCTTGGCGAGAGTCGACTGGGCTCAAGGTGAGCTCGGAAGCGAGACGCGGATGGCAGGGAAAGTGGTGATGGACGTCGGCGGCGGAGATGCTGCCAGAGGAGAGGTAGCCGTTGGGTTGTGGCGGACCGAACTTCTTTCACCGCAAGGGGCGACGAGTGGGAGGAGAGTCGGTGTGGGCTGGCGGAAGAAGAGAGAGCAGAGGGAATGAGACGGCAAGTGTGACAAGTTGTAAAGGAGCGAGAGGGCTGCCCGGGGGCGTCGTGGTCTTTGTAATAATTTATGGAGGTAACTCACGTGGCCGGGAAGGGGTGGGCACTAGGATGGGCGTCCCAAAGACGGGCAGGCAGGGGGGTGGAAGATGCTGGAAGGGAGGAGGGATGGATGGAGGGGAGACGAGGTGAGTTGGTTCCGAGACGGCGGCCGGGGCGGAGATTGGGGCCAACAAAAAACGGCGGTGCTGCAAGCAGGCCGCTGCAAGTGCTGGCAAGGGGAGGCGTGCGCTGGGCCCAGTCGGTCTGGTCCCGTCGGCACACTGGCACACTGGGGAGGAGGCCAGACACAGGGGACCAGGCGGGCTGGGCGGCGGCTCTGGCTTGAATGAGGATGGACCCGACCTCCACAGGACCCAAGGCGGCCGGGATGACGAGGCTCCGCTTTCGGCTGACTATCAGCGTTGCTGTGCTGGGGGGGTATGTAGAGGGGAGGGCGGATGGGAAAGGCAGGCGGCAAGCGGACGGTCCAGGAGAGGCAAGCGCTTGGTTGCGATTGGGACTGGGTGGGGCCGGGCCCTTGGTCTGCGCTGGTTGGCGTGGGATGGGGAACCGCCAACGACGGCGGCGGCGACAAAGGAAAGCAAAGATGACGATGATCTGGACAGGGCTAGAAAGAGAACCGACTACCCGCCTATCCGCTATTCGAGATGGGCCTTTGTTGCTTTTTTTTTTTGCCCCTTTCTTCCCTTCCACCCTTCTCTTGGAACAGCCGGCGGCGCCGACCAGACAATAATGAACGGCGTCGGGACTATCAACAAGTGTGGAGGATGCGACACGAGTAGGACAGACTGCTAAGGGGACCCGTGCGTCCAGTATAAGCGCAACCACCTGTTGTGTGTGTGTGCGTGTGTTTGTGGGTGTGTCTGCAAAGGCAAGCTAATCGCCCCAATGTAGCCTGTGGCAGGGGCCCCGGCCAAGACTAGAGAATGCAGATCTCGGGCAAGCCAGACAGCCGATGAGCCCATCATCCCCCATGATGCTCGGGGAGGCGTCGGGTGCTAAAATACCGACATGGCCCGGGGCGTGGTCACGGCGTGTATCCCACATATCTCACATGCATACCTGCATACCTACCTAGGTGCGCATTTCACATGCGCCAGGCGGAGGGAAAGGCCAGGAGCGTGCGTGTGCGCATGACGGTGCGCGGGCCGACGTATTGGACAGAGATAATACGGCAATAATACAGAAGCACAGCGTCCAGGTCGGCATGTTTTTTTTTTTGGTACCCACGTCGCAGTCGAGTGCGTAAGTGACTTGGCGGCCTTGCAGCGTCCCATGGATTCCGGATTTTCTCATCCCTCATCCCTGCGCCAGCACGAGCAGATCATGGATGGCCCTCCCCCAGAGTCGGCCGGAAGCAGACTGGGTTGCAGGGTGGCTCTGCGGTGGCATGGTGGCTTGCATCCGGAACTTGCAGCCAGGGACCGGCCTACGGTACCTAGTACCTAGAGACACCCCCCGGCCGGCATTAGGCCAACCCATCTGACTGTCCTGCCCGCATCTCCTGTGCGCGCCAAACAGACGGCGGGTTGACGCATCACGCCCGTGGCCTGTGCTGCTTGCTGCTGCAGTGCATGCGCTGGGGCCAGCAGGGTTTCGTTTGTGGTGGCTTGCCGGGGGTGGAGCTGAGAGGCCTGGCGCGGCACTTGCGGACGGTCAATTGGCAGTAGCACAGCACAGTCCTCATGTTCAGGCCGCGGCGTCTGGTGCAGGCTGCAGCCGGACGACGTGGCACTGGGTCCAAGTCTGGGGCCCCAAGGCAAGTGTAGACGCCTATTGCCAACCATTTCCGGCAGCACAATAAACTTGGGTGTGGACCCTTGCGCCTTCAATGTGTGCTTGTGATTACAGTACGTGAGTACCTACCTACCTGGCAAGGTACATGGCTACTGTGCATGCCCCCTCCGCCAGCAATCAAAACACTCTGGGCCACCCTCCTTGCTGGTAGAATGTGGAATGCAGAGCGAGTCGTTGTTGGGCAGAGTCCAGAGTGGCGACACGGGCAGAAATCCCAGGAATCAGGTGGGCTGGCGAGTGCCTGTCCAGAGACCATGGATGGCTGGCTGGATCCCTCACAGTGACGCCACATCGCCCGAGCCTGCAGAAACCCTTCCATCTCGGCTGGGCTCGATATCTCCTTCCGGACCAAGGGCCGCCACCGTTCTTGGGGGAGCACGAACGCAGGACGGCAGGCTGGGACGGGCGAGATCCGTCGTGTCGTGTGCTCACTGGGCGGGCGTTGCACGCACGAGGACCACCTTGCTACCATATGTACCAGCCCTCGGGCTAGCCGCCTGTCCCTGTTGGAGGATCCGTATCGCGCAACTCGTCACCTCAGTCAGGAAGATCAGATCCATGTCTCCTGTGTCGTTGGGCGGGCACCACACCACACACGACGCTGCTCCACATGCCTGCACATGCCTGCACATGGTGCGCACAGCACACACCTGGGGCCACGAGCGAATCCGACTATGCATCAGAACACTTGACCAGGCGTTGCGCCAGCCATCCGATGCAGGCCTCGGCCAGTGGAGTGGCTAAGAGGCAGGTCGAATAGGAAGACACTGTCATGTACAATCGGGCGCTACGGGAAAGAAAGTGAGACATGACAGAGAAGCCGGAAAGCGGAAATCAGGAAAACGAAAAGCCGGAAACGAAGAAGAAAATAATCCATGATAGCACTTTGTGAACACCCGACTGCCCGTTGTCGCCTCGGTGTGCAACCTCGGGAATGCATTATCCTTAGCCTGTATGAAGATGGACAAAGTCCAGCCCAGTCCTCGCCGGGACAGCCATCTTGGCAAACGCCAAGATGCACACGCCCCCTCGTCTGCAAAAAGACCCGGAAAGGGGTGAGTGCATCCAGAACTTAACTGCCGCGGACAACTTCACCCTTCTCATCATCATTGATCTCATCCGTTGAGAATCTAGCCGGTGCTTTACGCGGCATTAAGCTTTTATTCGCTTCCCTGCCTGTCCGTCTTCCATCAGCCTTCTTTATCGTCATTCTCTGACCAAGGCCCTCAGCGCCAGAGCCCACGATCCGATGAAAGGACTCATGGCCGAACGACGACGGCAAGGGAGGGGGTAAACTTTCGGCGTTGGATAAAACACTAATGCACGTGGCAAAGCACTGGGTGGCACCCACGTTGGTGCTTGGGCCGCGACACAGGACCAAGAGGGAAACGGTAGGGGAAAAGAAACGCGGCGGGGTTGGGTGTCGTCGGGTGCGCCTTGAGAGGAGCTCCGGGCCGCAATGCTTCCGACCCTCACCTGACCCGGTGACGGCGACCCCGGACCTGGCCCGGGCTATTCCCCATGGCCATCATCGACTCCCCGCTTCTCCAAGGAGGTGGGCCAGAAATCCCAGCGATGCTCACACCTTGAAGTCGCCTCTCCACCTGGTGATGAGGCGCATATTGACTAACGTGTCTAGATAACGTGTCTGGATTTGAAAGACGCAGCGTAAAGGCATGTTTCAAAATGGGTAGCTGTTGTATTGTGTGTCGCAATCGCCCCTGATGTCTCGTTCATGGGAAACTAGAATCTGAGGACCAGACATTGTAAAATATAGAAAGACTGCGACCAAAACGAAAAGATACTGCCGACACTAACACGGGAATGGAATATCAATTTGGAACAAAAAGGGATAAAGTGAAGTCAAGGCGTAGAGCCCAATGGGATTACCTCCCATCGTGCCGTCCGGAAGACTGTTCTCCGCTGTGCCTCCACGATCGCAAGCCACAGCGGTCAAACGCCACAGTACCCACCCGACACCTTTGTGGTCATGCTTGTTTAAGCCTCTGCCAGGTACATGTGGTGATATGCCTGCCGTGAGCGACGTACCAATCCTTTTGCTTGCAACAGAGGGATGAAAATCCCATCTGCTGCTGCCGCCGCGTTCTTGCCCGGCACTGACGGCGCTCCCGGGTGTAATCGGGAACTGAACAACCCGGTTCAAAGTGGTGGTAACTAAGATTTGCGCCATCCTGCACTCACTACGACTTCAGCCACTTCAGCCTTGTTTCGAGACCGCAAACCCAGGCGCATTGCAGCATCAAGACCATCACCATGGCGCCCTCCGATAAGAAGTACGCGTTTGTGTCGATGGAGGACGATGGGGCGCCTGCCAAGAAGCGCGCCAAGGTCGACCAGGACGGTTCGCGATCCCACGGCTCCCGATCGGAGCGCAAGTCGGAGCGCGACCACGGTGAAGGCAGGACTTCCTCAGGTCGCTCGAGGAGGCATGATGACAGGCGCTCCAAGTACGACCGCGACGACGACGACAAACGCTCAAGATATGATCGCGACGACGATGACAGGCGCTCTAAACACGACCGCGGCGACGATAGCAGGCGCTTCAAAAACGACCGTGCTGATGACGACAAGGCGCGACACGACGACAGACGATCCAAGACCTCCCGCGCCGACGAAGGAAAGGGCAGGACCCTGATGGACTCGGACAAGGCGCGACAGGATGCGCTCCCCGACCTGCGCGAGAAGTCGCGTCAGGAATACCTCAAGAAGCGCGAGGCGGAAAAGCTCGTCCTGCTCCGCAAGCAGGTCGCCGAGGAGACGGCTGAGCTGAGCAGCGGCGCGAGGCTGACCGAGAGGGAAAAGGCCGACTTTGCTAGAAACAGAGAGGTCCTGAGGCTCGCCGAGGAGCGGCTGCGCATCGACGACCACCGCGATGGCTACCACATGCCCGAGGACTACGTGACAGAGAAGGGCAAAATAGACAGGAAGAAAAAAGAGGACGCGCTATACAAGCGGTACGTGGAGAAGGACGAGTACGGCCAGGAGAAGTACGTCACCGAGTACGACGAGTGGGATCGGGAACAGGCCGCCAAGGCAAAGGCGCAAATCCAGCGAGCCGAGCGGGACGAGGACGGATACGACTATGTCATGGACGAGGACCAGTACGTCCAGTGGACCATGGACTCCCGCATGGCCGGCGAGGGCGTGCTCACCGGCGAGCAGCGCTTCCTGCAGGCCCAGGTCGACGCGGAAGAGAAGCGGCAGCTGTCGATGCAGGAGACCCGGCAGAGCCTACCGATATACGCCTACCGCGACGAGTTCCTCGCCGCGCTGGAGCAGTACCAGATCCTGGTCATCGTTGGAGAGACGGGCAGCGGCAAGACGACGCAGCTGCCGCAGTACCTCCACGAGGCCGGGTTCACCAAGGACGGCATGAAGGTCGGCTGCACACAGCCGCGACGTGTGGCGGCCATGAGCGTTGCGGCCCGTGTGGCCGATGAGATGGGGGTCAAGCTGGGAAACGAGGTCGGGTATTCGATCCGGTTCGAGGACAAGACCAACGAAAAGACCATCATGAAGTACATGACCGACGGTATGCTTCTGCGCGAGTTCATGACGGAACCGGACCTGGCGGGCTACTCGGCCATCATGATCGACGAGGCCCACGAGCGGACGGTTCATACCGACATTCTCCTCGCCCTAGTCAAGGATCTGGCGCGAGAGCGCAAGGAGCTGAAACTACTGATCTCGTCGGCCACGATGAATGCAGAAAAGTTTGCTTCATACTTTGACGACGCACCCATCTTCAACATCCCCGGCAGGAGGTATCCCGTGGACATCTACTATACACCACAACCGGAAGCCAACTACCTCGCGGCCGCCATCACCACCGTGTTCCAGATCCACACCACGCAACCCAAAGGCGATATCCTGATCTTCCTCACGGGTCAGGACGAGATTGAGTCTGCGGAGCAACAGATAACTGACACAGCCCGCAAGCTGGGGAGTCGCATCAAGGAGCTGGTCATCTGCCCAATCTACGCAAACCTGCCCTCGGAGCTGCAGTCCAAAATCTTCGAGCCGACGCCCGAGAACGCGCGCAAGGTGGTGTTGGCGACAAACATCGCCGAGACCAGTCTGACCATCGACGGCATCGTTTACGTCATCGACCCGGGCTACGTCAAGGAGAACGTGCACAACCCTGCCACGGGCATGTCCAGCTTGGTGGTCGTGCCGTGCTCGAGGGCGTCGGCCAACCAGCGGAGCGGTCGTGCAGGCCGTGTCGGGCCCGGGAAGTGCTTCAGACTCTACACCAAGTACTCGTACATGAACGAGATGGACGAGTCGCCCACGCCCGAGATCCAGCGGACGAACCTCAACGGCGTGGTGCTCCAGCTCAAGTCCCTGGGAGTCGACGACCTGCTCTCGTTCGGGTTCATGGACCCGCCGGCGACGGAGGCGCTCATCGGGTCGCTCAACCACCTGTTTGCGCTGCAGGCCTTCAACCACAAGGGCGAGCTCACAAAGGTGGGCCGGCAGATGGCCGAGTTCCCCATGGAGCCCATGTTCGCCAGGACGGTCCTGGCGGCGGACAAGGAGGGGTGCGTGGACGAGGTGCTGTCCATCGTGGCCATGCTCGGCGAGGCCTCGGCCCTCTTCTTCCGGCCCAAGGACAAGAAGGTGCACGCAGACGCGGCGCGGGGCCGGTTCACGGTCGAGAAGGGCGGCGACCAACTGACGCTGCTCAACATCTGGAATCAGTGGGTCGACAGCGACTTCTCGCCCATCTGGTCCAAGGAGAACTTTTTGCAGCAGCGCTCCCTCACGCGCGCGCGCGACGTGCGCGAGCAGCTGGCTAAGCTGTGCGAGCGCGTCGAGGTGGCGCCCTCGACGTGCGGCGCCTCCAACATGCCGCCCATCCAGCGCGCCATCACGGCGGGCTTCTTTCTGAACGCGGCGCGCATGAGCCGCAACGGCGACGGCTACCGCATGGTCAAGGGCAGCACCACGGTCTACATGCACCCGAGCTCGGTCCTCATGGCCGTCGACCCGCCTCCGAGGATGGTGGTCTACACGGAGCTCGTCGCCACGACCAAGGAGTACATGCGCTCGTGCATGCCCATCGAGCCAAAGTGGCTGGGCGAACTGGCGCCGCACTTTTTCAAGAAGGAGGACCTGGACGCGCTGGCGGAGAAGAAGATGCCCAAGGACAGGAGGCGCTGAGCATTCCTGTTGTGTTGGGGTTTCTTGCTTGCTTGTTTATCTGTCTCTGCCTGCCTGGATCCAGGATCCATGTCTTATACCCCCCCACTGACGGAGAGATCGGGATGATATGTGTGTATTTACTTTACGTGTCCAGCCTGTGAGGTCTAGACCTTGGAAGACCCGAGACGAATGGAATAACGAAGTACCACGGATTCCTCTTTTAAGCCATATCATTGATATCTTCGTCACGCAAATGAACAGGCCTGCTTGGGGCATTCACTTTTTATTCATTACAGATTTGGACTAGGAAACATGTATCCCCCCCGTTGGCATCCCCCGCGTCAGAGCCTCAACCTTGTCTTGGCGCGCTGTTGTCCCCTCGAGTGGAGCATCGATGCCCTATCCGTCTTAGCATTGTTGCTTTGAGCGGCCCCTGACGCGGCCGCGTCCCTCTCGTCCCTGATGCGGCTGGCGAACTGGTCTGGCGGGCAGCAGTACACCCAGATGCCGTCGTAGGAGCCCATCCAGCCGGCCTCGTAAGGCAGGGCCGGGCCTCGCTGCTGGCTCAGGGGCGGGTCGTCGTCGTTGTCGTCGGCGGCCGCTGTTGGGGAACAGTCGTCACGGCCCGCCGGGCCCTGCTGCCTGTAAACCAGCGGCGGCTGGTCCGAGCCGTACAGGTAGCGCGACAGGCCGCGGACCAGGTCGACCTTTGTGACGCCGCGGTCGTTGCGTAGCACGATGCTGGGCGCCGCCGTCTTGGGGAGGAGGCGGCAGGGGCAGCCGATATCGCTGTCGTTACCGCTGTCGTCGTCGCAGGCACCAACGCCAGAAACGGCACTGGCGCTGCCGCCGCCGTCGTCCAGGATCCTGATCTCGAACCGGCGCAGCGGCGGGTCGGCCAGCTGGGTGGCGATGCCGGCGTCGGCGGCGACGCAGTCGTGCAGCCAGGCGAAGACGGCGCGCCAGTGCGCCTGGAACGCGCCCGGGTCCCCCGCGTCGAAGGCGGGGCTGGCCGGGAAGGCGCCGCGCACGGCTAGGTTTATGACGGAAGCGACGTCGGCCCACTGCTGGCGGCGGCGGCCGTTGCTGTCGTCGTCATCGTTGTTGGGGTTTGCTGGTATGGCCTCATCGTCGACGTGGCGGCTATCTTGGACTGGGTCGGGCCGGCGCTCGGCGTGTTCCGCTCGTACCGTTGTAGTGTTTATGCCCATCTTCATGTATCCCCGCCAGAAAGTAGGATATGTATATTATGGCAGGGGAGGGAGAGAGAGAGCGCGAGGGAGGGAGAAGTGCCAGCCGAGTCAGTTCGGGCTTGTAATATAAGAGAACGACTAGCTGACTGACTGACTGTTGGTACCGCTGCTATACTACACTCGGCCGAGCCCAGACGACAGGAGCAAGCGAGGAAGGTGAGAGGAGGGACACAAAAAACACGGCCATTACCACGAGGAAGGGGGACGTCGGGGATGGAAATATTGGCCCCGGTGGCGCCTCAGCCGGGCAGGACATGACCCGGGAGGGCTCGTAAAAGGCGAACCAACAACATTCTGGTGGCCCGGCTTAACCCTTTCCGGGCAGCCTCGGTATTCCCATCCCTTACTAATGGCCCAGCTCGGGTGGCCGCCCGCGCGCACATGCGATGCCCGTCCCTGGATGCAACGATGATGATGGCGGAACGAAGGAGCTGAACTAGTACATAGGTACGGGGGAGAGCTGGGCGCCGTAGGGGAGGGAAACAAAAAGAAACAAGAAAAAAAAGGAAGGGTGGGTGGTCCAGTAAGAGATGGAGCGATGGGGCGGTTGAAGGATTCTCAGCTGCCAACAAGCACCACCAGCAGCAGCGCACACAGCGGAACAGGCAGCGCAGTTCTGCGGCGGGGAGGTCTGGTCAAGTGCATCAGAGCTTGGTGTAGTGGGTCTCCCCTCCCCGCACCCCATCATTCATTGTTGGCTCGATTGCTTTTCCGGGCATCCTTCGCCTCCATTCGCGCCACAAGCTTTTGTTCCTGAAGGAGCCAATGGGGGTTTCGGAGCGACTGCTTGCCGGCTGAGTCGCATGCTGGGGTCTTTTTCTTCTTCTTTTTATGGGCCCACACGGCAAAAGGAAGCCAGTAACATTGCCATCTCATCAATCAAATCAATCATCCATCGCCGCTTCTGCAACAACCCCCCGTCCTCCCTCCAGACCCGGTGGCCTGTGTCGTTGAAAGAGAAGGGGAAAAAAAAGGCCCCATGGCCGAGAAGAAGCCGACTGCGACAACGTCGAGAGTGCGGCACACCAGACGCTTAAAAGGTAACATCTAGACGCATCGGCGTGTCCGGGCATGCAAGCCACTCAAGCCTCACCTCATCGACCTTTTGGCGGTGGACGGCTGCGTGCATGACAAGCAAAGGAGCGATGCGGCTGGGCGCCGTGCTCCTGAAAAAACCCCCCCC